TTATTATCCATGTTGTATTCACTACTGGTAGTCCAGGCTGATGTTGTATGATTTGTTCTGGAGGAGAGGAGCTATTTGATTAGAGTCTGACAAATCAGGAAAGGATGTGTCATGACATGATATGCTAAATGTGAGTGACTTCATTTTCAAAGTCCTCCGTTTCTGCCTGTCCACACTAATACGCTACCAGGAGTTTTCAAGCGTGAACAGGTTCAGATGCATTTTCAAACTTCTCTGTTCTTCTCTGGACCGCAGGCGTAAACAGAGCAAAAGTGCTGCGTTTTAAAACAAAAACGTAGCAGCGTGGATGGAGCCTGAGTATGAACTTGGTTGCGTGCAACTCACTGGCCACCTAATTATTTAAAAGCGCTATATTATTGATGTTTTTCCTTCTGGATAACTCACAGAGAAGGATAAGGCAGATACAAAATTCTAATGTTTAATTTATGGAGTTTCTCACAATGGTTTTTGTGGAGTGAGTAACATTAATTGTTCCTTAATTATGAAGACTATTTGGCATTTGTTTGCATAAACAAGATAATCTAAGTCTGTTTCACATATCTGTGACTATTAAAGTAAGTGATATAACTGGATTTGAATAACACTCATTAAAATCTGCAGGTGTTGTAAGGAATAGAGTGATATTTTAATGAAAGCTTATGTAATAAGACTAATGTGTGCTATGCTGGCTGCACAATAGATAATTGGGCCGATTTTCAATCTGATAGCCACTCCCGACAATCTCAAGGTTTTCCCAATCCAAGGCTGGTCGAACAGATTATCTGGCCAAATTATCCTGTAGAGTGAGGGGGTTTACAGACATAATCTTAACGTCACCAGCTGGATCAGAGGTTCCCTGATTTTGAATTGTAAATATCAAACATGTAAGATATGTACGATACAAAGGTGGGGAAAACAAACAAAACAACACTTTCAGTGAGAACTGCACCTTAATTACCCACCTTTGCACAGTGCAGGTCCTTATGTTTCTTCAGCAGTTTATCCGCCTGCTGTATTGCCATTTTATTGTTTCCATTATCAAGGTAATCTGGGGAAACAAGGGACAACATTATTACATAAATGATGGCAAATGCAAATATTAGACTTGAATTCATCACTCTCACACACACACACACACACACACTCACGGGCTGCAACTAACAATTTTCAATGGTGATTAATCTGATGATAATTTGATTACTCGTAGAGCTGGTTAATAAAACAATAATGATAATTATGGCAATATAATATTCCTCAATAACAATATAATAAATGTTCAATATATCGTCAATAAATATCTGGGTTAATTCATTTGAATCACAAACAAATTAGCACTAGCAATCTTTTTCTATTAAGATATTTATTTTGTTGAGGGCAGTGAGACTAAAAAAAGATTTACTAATCATATTTGTTGAAAAAGATTTTATCATAATAGTAATTTTATTTAATAGTTTTGTTCTCCCTCAGATTTGTGAAGTGAGCCACTGTTCGGCATCAAGTGTTTGTCCCATTCTGACCATAAAGAAAAGTTTAATCAAATAATTAACCATCTGGTTTCTTCAATTTTCCCCCAGGAGCAAAAATGTGCCTTTAAACTTGAGATTAATTTGAGAAAATAATCTGCAGATTAATGGATACTGAAAATAATAATTGTTAGCTGAAGCCGTAGGTAAGCGGCCACTAATAGTCTTTCTGAATGGTTGGTTTTATGCTGAAGTATGTGCATGCAGTCAGAGATCAGACACTTCAGCCTCTTCTGGACAGCTGAATGCCAAAATTAACTGCACCAGACAGCAGCACACTGTGAGTAGATCATATCTATTCTCTCTGTTTAAACTACTGTCATCACAGGAGAACCAAAACGTTGACCAAAGTCTAGGGAAAAATTTGAGTAACACTGACATGGCACTTAAATTCAGGGTAAGTTCACGGTCTGCTGCCAAACTAAGCAGCCCTGCATCTCCACCCATCGATGACAACTGTGAGAGACTAACTTAATTATTTATGGTTTTAAACTACACTTTAAATACTTTGCTTAAGATGCACAGTTTGATCTCACTGCTTTCCCAACAAAAACCTATTAATTCTCATTTCAGATCGGTGAAATGCTGTTAAATGTCAGTTAGTAGCAGTTACAACGCTAGCAGTAGTGTAAAAACATAAAACAGCTGGTACAAGTGGGATTATTCGTAAATATTAATTATTTGTGGTTTTCAAACAGTAGCTGCAGTTTCAAACTCACTGATGCTCAAAGCTTTGACAAAGTCTCCAACAAAACCTGTTAATTCACATGTTTAGATCCATGAAATACTGTTAAATGTCAGTTAGTAACATTAGCACTTAAGTTACAAGCTAACCGAATAGTGTAAGAACATATAAAACAGCTGATAACGAGGTGAGATTCCTCGTAAACATTACATATTCTCAGGTTATACAAAAGAAAAACAAAGCCAATGTCCTTCATTTCTGTTATTTAGCAGCTCACTCGGGGCTTAACGGGTCTGTGAGCTGTGACAGCTCCATGCTAGCTAGTTAGCATGCTAGCTAGCTACCGCTCGTGCACCGGACTTAGCTTGAAGCATTGTCCTTACACTATTATGATCCTACTGCTAGCTGGAAGCTACCCATGTAACATTTAGATAGTTACAGATTCAGACAGACAGGTTTGCGGGCTGTAAATACATGTCAATCTGAGACACACACCGGACACTGATGAGCAACTTTTCTTTTTAAACATGCACCCAGCTGCAGCAGGTCCACGAGCTAACTGGCTAGCTGCTAGCTGTCAAATAGCGACCGTTAGCAAAAAAGGAGAAAGCACTTCGACTTTGAGAATGAGCCAGACCCGTGCGGGCAAACATTCAAGGCTTGTAACCGCTCCGAGGGTGTCTACAGGTGTTACACATGGACACACGGGTTCATCCAGAGGCTCCGTGGCAGCCGTGTCCCACCCCGGCTCGGTGGCAGACCGGGTATGGTGCACTGTCATTGGGCGCTGCAGGCAGCAGAGTCCGCGGTTGGAGCTGGTGGGGCCGCATCGTTGCCTCCGCCGACCCCAGCACATTGTACTTTAAAGACGTGAGCCGGTACACAGCGCAATAATGTTTTTCCAACCCTCTAAACACGCAGAAACATGTAGCTCCCCAATGAGTCTTTACCGTATATGGGTCTGAGTCTCCTGTCGTTGGGATCCTGCACATGGCCTCTCGCCGCCATGGTGGAGTTTACCTGCTGGGTAAATGTTCACACATGCGCACTGTGAGCCGCCTCTACGAGCGATTAAAGGATTTTTTTTTTCTTTCTCGCTGAAAGTAAAATAAGACGTTTAATTATCTGTCCACCGGTGTAACACCAAAATCTGTGACCTATCAGATTCTGTGACCAAAACCCAAACGACGATGTTTTCCTAACCATAACGAAGTACTTTTAGTATCTAAACCCAACCAAGTACTTTTGGTGCCTAAACCTAACCAAACTGCAGCCGCTTCACATTGTCAACAAAGCCTCTGGCGCTTAACTTCCTTAACTTCCCTTTGGGGTCACAGGATCTGATAGGTCACACATTTTGGTGTCACACCTGTAAACACCTGCGGCTTGGACGTGTTCATTAAAATGTACTTCACAGAGGCGGACGAAGTATTCAGATCACAAAAAAAAAAAAAAAAAACAACATTCAGGTTGCAGGTGACAATTCAAAATTTTAAAATATAATGCAGCAAAAAGTAGCTTGTTTTTTTTAAGCTTAAGATACTTGATACATGCAGAAAGGCCCATTTGTGAATATTATATTATTGGATTATAATTATCGATGCATTCATATGTATGTTGCAGCTGGTACATGTGAAGTTAATTAAAACTACTTTATATACATATGTATAATAACGCATCATCATTTATTAGTTGATTGTAAATTATGTATTAATCTGATTCTGCAAAGCAGCCTAACTAGCTGTCTGTGAAATGTAGTGAAACTGCAGGGGCTTAGAAGTATAAAGTAGCATAACATGCAATCAAAACTGTACTTAAAAGCCCCTGGAGGCAATTTGTGATATTGGACTGTACAAATAAAAAAAATACTTAACTACTTAAATAAGTACAGTACTTGAGTGAATCTACTTTATTCCACCACTGCATTCTGGATTTATCAATACAGGAGGAGAAAGGACTCAAGGGCGTCACATTGTGTTGAAAAGTGGTGGTAACATAAGGGCTCAGATTAGGGGTGTGACAATACACTTAGCTCATGAGATGTGAAGATCCATGATGTTGGGTGCATGAGAAGATATTTTAAATCAGCTTCCAGTCTTCTGGGAAGGTTTTCAACAAGATTTTGGAGTTTATCTGTGGGAATGTGTTGCCTATTTATTTTTAGCATTTGCTGTGGTCAGACACTGATGTTGGATGACAGGGGCTGGCTCAGTCTCTGTTCTAGTTCAATCCAAAAGGGGTTCGCTAGGGTTGAGATTTTTCCACACCAAACTCATCCAACCATGCTTTTATGGACCTCGTTTTGTGCACTAGGGCACAGTCATGCTGGAACCTCTGGCAATGGGGTGAAAAGAGGTGTGTCCCAATAATTTTGTACATATAGTGTAACTAGTCCGCCACCGGAATAATAGGGATAGTGTAAAATGTGATTGTTCCTTGATGCTACTTGTTCTTGTCAGAGGTTGTGTATTGTAAGAGTACAACAGGCAGAAGCTTCAACCTGCAGCTTTCTTTTAGGCTATGCTGTATTGTTTTCTCCTGTTAGAAGTCAATGCCATTTGTTCTGTTGCTTTTTCTTTTGTTTTTATTCCAAACTGATTACAGCCCAAAATAAATGTCAATTTCAAAATGAAAACTTTCTTATCAGGAACTTTGTATCTGCTTTCTTATTTTAGCATATGTAAAGATTTTCATCTTTTCAAAAATGTTTGTGATCAAGGGATTAAAAAGCACATTACAAAATGAGATAACCAGAGAGACACATCCCTAACACACACAAAACCACACATTTATTCTCTTATTTGTTCAAATTTATTAGATATTCTGTTATGTTCCATTGTCTAGACCTTCTGTCACAGCCTGAAAGCTGTGAACAGGAGAAAAAAAAAAAAAAAAAAAAGGAACTAATTGAATTACATTCACTACTAATTCCCCTGAATTTTGCCTTATCAGTAAAAGAGAACATCAAATACATTGTGAATCTTTGTCTTTCAAAAAACAAAACAAAAACAGAGAAAACAAAACACAGTAGATTTTGCAAGTGCTTATTCATGATTACAATAAAGAAAACTGTATTTTGGACTCCATCTGTTCCCTAAGCTTTTATCCCTCCCCTCACAGTCATACCCTGGCTGGCATCACTGGCAATGCTACAAAACTGTACATCACACAGTCTAGTCTAGTCTACAGGGCGACTCCCTGTCATCGCCAAACTCAGTCAGGCTTTTCACTCCTCGTCAGTAATCTGAGGTCGAGCCGGATTCAGTTTGATTTTGAGGAGAAGCCGCCTTTTAAAATTATTCCTCTTCTCATCTGATGCAGTTCAAGAGCTTCTCAAAAGCACTGAAGTCCTGATCAAACAAACTGGGAATAATCAAAACCCAAAGAAAGGAAAATGTAAAGACTAATAAAAAAAAAGAAAAAATGCGCATGCAGATCCAAATGTGGAGTTGTTTCAGTAAATCTCTCCTCATGTACTGATGATATAACAGCTCCATGTCATGCCTGTACAGGTGTGAAACATGTCAGTGTTCCTGCAGCTCTGTGACTTCCTGCATAGTTTGACACATCTGTCTCCTAGCTGTACATTCATAAGCATGGATGAGGTACAGTTAACAGTATGAGCAACAACACGTCGACAGTTTGCTCCACTTCCCACACTGAGCATACTGTCCACAGAGCTGATGTCTCCTGCTCTGACAACTTATTTAAGTTACTTTTAGCAGTACAGTATTGAATGATAGACCTGACGACGCTTAGTAGCTGTGAATATTCCATTCAAGTCAGTGTTTGTATGTACAGTTTGTCCATTTCTATAATGGACATATTATAAAGTACACTTATAACTCTCTTATAACCTGTCCAACACCACACACACACACACAGGTTACAGCAAAACCTAGACACTCATACCTGATCGAATAAACAAGGTTTTATCACAGCTGTGCTAAAGCTATGCTCATGATCACATAAAACATCACAAGACATCTTACCTAAGAGCCCAACAGGATCTGCTCTACGCTCAAAATAAAGACTGCTAAAGTGAGCTCTCTCTGTGATAAACGGCTACAAACCAGAGTCGATGAAGCCAAAAAAAAATAAAGTAGTGATGCCGGAAAGAAAGCAGGATAAAGATGCCACCTGTTTTCAGATCACGGCTCGTACTAGATCACCAGACACTGATTTAAACTGTTATGAGTCAGTTTTTTGCCAAAGGGATTTCATCCTTTATCTAGAGGCAGTTGAGAAAAGTTCAGACTGACCTACATCATGTAGATGAAAAGCTCACTTGACATGGTGAAAATAAAAGCTATACACCCACAATGCTTGTCAATCCACAACTGCAACAGACGTCGCAGATCTGCCTGGACCCATTTGCTGTCTGAGGTGAGAGAAGAAGCGTTAGTTGTAAAAACCCAACCTTGATTCATGCACGCAGCAACGCACACACTTTCATCCTCATTTGTTTTAGTTAAAGAAAGAAAAGGAAAGCTTCTGCTCCACTTAAAGCCCTAGACAAGAAGAAAGGACATGCAGCAATAGCATGAGGCAAGTTCAACAGGCTGGTCGTGGAGCGCTGAGACGACTCAGGAGCCTTGATAATAAGCTGAACGTTGTCCATCTCAGTCAAGACTGACAGTCCTTTAAGAGCGAAGGCAGTCGATAACACAAACAAGCACAAAAATGCACACTAACACACCGGTGTATTGTACAGACTCTCCTAGAGGGCGCTAAACCTCTCTCTAATCAACACAAACAATCCACTTGAGCGAAGCCTCATTGCAGCGACAACACACATGCAATGACAGTTTAGTGAGGAGTTGCCGTTGTCCACATGCACTTGTGACGGAAAATGTGGGACGTGTGTGAAGCAGAGAATTATCCATCATGCATGAGCACTGATTTTGCTTTGAACCTTAAACAGGCATGGATTAGCCTCCAAATTAAAATGAAAGAAAAAATAAATAAAAAAATTTCCAACCAACTGCCAGACAGAGGGGACAGTGAGACAAGGACAAATTTTATCAGGACAAGAATATGGACAATACTGAGGGGAGAGACAGGGATCAAAGTAGGGACAGACAGTTATAATACAAGGGAAGGTAGGGAGATTAATGGTCCAATACCTGCTAAAGTCATCTTGTACCAATTTTTGTGGGCACCTGTATACCTAAAAACAAGTTAATTTAAAAGGCTTGACTTTCTGAGTCACTGTTTACACACCTGAATAAAAACAAAGCCCATTGTAATAATCAACTAACAATTACATGTCAGGCAAGTTACGTTCTGTGCAAAGAGTTTTTTTTTTTTCCTTTTTATATGTATGCAAAACCATGTTTTTTTTTTTTTTTGTTTTCTGAATGAACAGGAGGCTTGTGATTGGGGTAGGATCTGTACAGTACTGTTAACCAATCTTTGTCAAACCCCCCCAATGAATCATGTGAGACAGGAAGAGAAGAGGCGAAGTCAGGGCCACTTCCTCATCGTGGTGGAGGTGTCTTTGATGACATCATCATGACAGGGTTTGGTTGATTTGCCTCATTGCTCATGAGCAGCACTGGTGCCTCGAATCGGACCTTTTTGACGCAGCTGAGAGACGGAGAAAGAAGATGTGTGTTCAGTTTGGTAATACAGACTGTTTACATCCGTTAGCAATGAGCCATGCACATGCAGGACGATCAGTCAAGTCCAAAAAAATAACAAATCAAAAAATGAAAACATTTCAGGGAGGGTGATTAATATCTCCATTCCCATGATCACAAAACACGAGGAGGAAACAAAGTGAAAGCACAGAGAGAAGTGTTCAAGACGAGTGAACGAGCTGTAAGAGAACATTAAAACGTGAGTTGATGAATAGCAGGCAGGGAAAATGACTCACGGCCCCGTTCTTCATTTGTGGAGTTTGCTTGATTTGTTAGTCTATAATTGATTTAAGTTGGTAGCTTAAAGTACAGGCTTATATTTAACAGTTTAGAAAATAAAGTGAATCACATACGAAACAATTCTCTGACAGGAGTGACTCATTCAAAGCTGACCAAGCAAAAATTACCAAAATTTACAGGTTCCAGCTTCTTAAAAAAAAAAAAAGAAGTGCAGATTAGTTGATTTTCTTTGTTTTCTACATGGTAAAATGAGCATCTCTGGTTTTTGGATTGTTGTGTTAGAAAAATAGTTGAAAAGGCCAACTTGCCTTCTGGGAAATTATACAGACCAACAATTTAGTTAGTTGAAGCCCTATATACTCCATTCCTTAGAAGAGCCTATAGAAAATAAACAATGGTAATGAAATTATGATTTTAAATCACATTTAAATTATTGAGAAATCATCGCCTACATTTTCCAAATTACGAGCCAAGTACACCTGGGAAGATAAATTACACTAAAAACGACCCATCAGACAAGTAAAAACAAGAAGCATGACATTTAGTTGTGACATCTGAATAGAGATTTGTTATTTAATCAAAAAATGTTTTAACGACAACATTAGTATAAAGGTCCTCTTAGTTAAAAGAGTCTGTTTCATAAATTATAGGTAATTTATTCAGTAAGAGTGCCTTTAATGTTCCTTATGTGAGATTTTTGCAGGGTTTTATTGCACTTCAATAATACGTCAAAGGTGCTTCTTCAGTTTGAAATGAACATCGGTGAGATGCAGTAAGATGTACTGTCTCTGTAGCCATGATGCCAGCAACTCATGATTAAAATCACATCACCCCTCAGCCAATATTATGTCCTTTTTTTAAAATAACTGCACTGTTACTCAAGATAACTTATTCTAAAAGGTGAACAAATCTATTGTCTAATTAGTGTGTTGGCTGAGCAATAACCGATGATTTTAGCCGTCGAACAGCATGTTAGCCTGGATAAGTTAAACCACATTTGAAGAGCAGAACCAATGAGATGAAAAGAGAAGAAGATAAGAATGGAAAGACGATACAGGGCTGAGAAGAGGTCAAGCACAAAAGATCTGAAAACAAACAGGGTAAGTTAGACAGCAGCAGTATTAAGAAAAGGGTGGAGAATGATCCATGCAGCGCCACCACCTCTGCTGTGTTGAGACTTACTCAGCCTGCCTCTAGTGTTTGACCTACAGCGACAGGCCTCTACTCGTCTGTCGCAGAGGTCCCTCGCACGTCTCCCTTCTGACGCATCTAATGTGAAATTCAGGAGTAAAAGGGTTAAATCAAGCAGCATTAAGTATGCTGTGTCGTCTCCAGCAGTCTGGTCATAACAGAACAATGATCATTTGTACCATTATCATTCCCAAGATAAAACTTTATTTCATGTGTGAGCTCCTCGAACATCTAGAAACACGCAAAATATAAAAGCAACTATCGGATAAAATTCTTTCACTGCATTCTTTACATCTGCCTTGAACATACAGTACAGCTCAGTATAAGTCTGAGAGGATAGTTGTGCATTTGGTGAGTTAATTACCTCCTCAAGCTCTTTTTGGGTCTCCTCTTCCATCCGCCTAATGTCCTCCATGGTCAAACCCACCCATCTGTCAATCCAGCAGAACAGCTGGCGGTGGAAGTTGGTGAAAATACGCTTTTCTTGCTGTGGAAGGAAGGAAAGGAAATAAATGAAGTGAAACAACTCAAATTCTGCACAAGCAATAGGTGGTTTAGATCGTAGGCAGAACTTCATTTTACATTAATATGAAGGCACACAAATGCACGTTTTTCCTATTTAAATAATTACACTTAGACTTTTCCCTTGCCTTTCCTGACTTAAGCTTTACACAGTTTAATTTTGTCTCCCTCCAGTTTGAAAAAACTGAGCCATGTCTCCCTCTGCTGTCCACAACAGAAACAACAGTTCATGGCAAATACTGTGTAGATGTTAATGAGGATAAATAAACATGTTCACAGTGCATGTTAGATAAAAAAAACCCAAAAAACTTTATGTTATGACTAACAGTGGCACTAATTCATCAAAAAAGCATTAAAGGATATTATGCATTACCCTGTGGATGAAATTTTCCACCTTGGTCTGCAGACCCCACCATCTGAACTTGACAGTGACCAGTTTGTATGCACACATGTAAGGACAATCTGTCTTCAGCTCATTCTGCGAAGGAAGAAAAGGCATTAAAACCTTCAGTTCAGGACAGACAGCAGGGACAACGTCATGATGTTCAACATTAGCGCATCTTTCCTTTTTTGTTCCTACGTCAGGTACCTTCCATTCGGGGCCGAGAGGTCCTCTACCCGTCTTGGTGGAGTGGAAAAGAGCAGGATCTTCTTCTGGCTTATAGTCCTGAAAGAAAACAAAAAAGGGGCAACAAAACATTAAGAACACAGACTGAACCTAAGTCACACCTTTTGCCCACAGCTGCTACTTTCAATGACTCTGCACTGTGTTCTGGGCCACACTGAGCCAAGGGGTCATGTCTGGCGGAGATCTTATTTGTTCCTGTTTGGTGACACCAGCAAATATGCTCAGAACCAAATTCCCAAGAGTCATGTAAAGAAATATGCAAAGTCACATACAGAAACTGTGTACACCTGGATATCTGGCGCACAGAGGAAGTAAAACCAATGAGTTTCTTTGAAATCTTGTGTAGAAAAGATTTCTTGTAAACAAACTGAAGTTGTGCATCTCTGAGATCTAACAAATGTGTTAAATGCATTTTTTTTTCCTCAAAGACTTTTTGAATATTCTAAATTGTGCAATGTTATCATCTGTGATTGTTAGCTTGTGGTCATCTTCTTCACTGTCTTTTGTTGGCATTTTGCTACTCTTCTTCTTCTTCTACATTCATCGTTGGAATGGAGCGTGAAACCGGCAACAGGATACAAACAAAATGAGGATCTACTCATAAAAACTTTGCGCTATAGTAATACTACCTAAGCTCCACAGGGAACCTTTAGAGACCCCCACCAGATATGCATTAAGATTTATAAAAATACTCTGCTTGGAGAAGTAATTTGAACTTCTTTTGAGGAAACAAGGTTACCTAGTTCTTTAAATCCACGTCATAAAATTGTTTTTGTACATAAACATGTTAAACTCAGACTTAAAAAAAAAAACAAAAGAAAAAAAAAACAAAAGGCGAGTAATGAGAAATTTTCCCCCTTTAGCAGATGAATCTGAAAACAACCTGCAACATCAAACTAACCTTCACTGATGTTTGTGCAAACATCAAGGTCAAAGAACAAGAAAATTTTATTCTTGAGTGGTTAAGTATTGAGAAAATCCTCCAACTTCTTAAGATAAATAAACCATTTTAAAACTGATTAGCGGTGATGTCATGTGGGTGGTGATTGTGGAGTGGACAAGACACCTGGCTTTGGTGTGAGAGACCCGGGTTTAATGCCCCACTGTGACACATTCACCAATTTCATTCACCTGAGCAAGACACTTAACCCCAAGTTGCTCCAGAGGCGTGCAACCTCTGACACATATACCAATTGTAAGTCGCTTTGGATAAAAGCGTCTTGTCAAAATGTAATGTACTATCATGTTATCATATGGAATGTAAATGTTAAGCAGTCACTGAATCCATTTTCTCCATGCGTCTCTTAAAAGAGAACGAGTTGAGACTCATCAGTGCTGACTCATTCATGCTGAAGGTGTTTTGACAGACTTCACCCTCCCGGCGAGTGTTGAGATCCCGTCCAGGAACACTGAAGAATCAGCAAACGTATTTTTAATGCACCCCCACCCCCAAATCCCAACCCCCGAGCTCAAGGCTGACCGTGCTGTTTTAATCCGTTGTGGGGAAAGAGTGGTGAATACCTGGAGCAGATGGACATTCAGATTAAGCCTTGGCCTCAACACTGATCCACTTAAGTCATTATTCTACAGGAGCTAGTGTAAGAAAGGCAGAGACGACTGTGACCCACCCGGATGAAAATGGCTTAATGCCTTGTTTTAGATTTTAAACCACAGGAAACATTAGGCATTACTCACCGACAGGCGTCTATGATGGGAGCAAGAAGAGCTTTTAAAAGATGGCTAAAAGTTTCATTTATCTGTGATCTCATGCTATTTAAACTCTGTAACATCCCATCATCCAAATCAAATGTTGCTAGAGAAATGATAACCCCTCATGGTGCTTTACTTTAGCTTAATAAATGCAGTCCAACTGAATCCTCATGCCATTTCAACTGTACAAGAAAGTGTCTTTTTAAGATGAGTAGACACATAACTAATGTCAAATAAAGCATAAATGAATAGATAATGGACACCCTAGAGCTGTTCTACAGAGTGAATAATGAACCAGCTGCTGTCACCACTCTGACAGGAGTAAAGAGGATTTTACAGGCACATTTTCAGATTCATAGCTAGACAGCTGAAGGAGCACTTTTTGCTTAACTTCTGTCTTGCATTACAGAAATTATCCCTAGTGCAGAATGCACGACTTTCAACGTCGCTGTGCTGTTCAACTGTTCAGACTACTGTCTTGTAACGGGAATCCTGAAGTCCTGGTAATCAAACTACGGGACTTATCGGCGACAGGGGGGTCACACACACTACACGCCTGACGACTCTTTCTGGTCTCCAAACCATGGCAGCCATGCATCGTTGAGTAGTTGACCCACATCGACTGGAGTGCGCCGATTGTTCGCTGATTTGCCCCCGATCACAGCCCGACGGTCGGCTGGCATATCGGGCTTAAAAATCACGTAGTGTGAACTCAGCTTTAGAGTCACTCACTGATCACATTTCAACGGATAAACAGCTAAATTCAGCCAGTCTTCTGATTTTCAGCTGAGGGAGCTTTCACGCTGCATTTATTTAGCCTTTATTGAAAAGTAAAGGCAGACAGGGCGCTTGTGAGTGGGGGTGACATGCAACAAATATTCACTCGCTGAATCAAATGAGGATGTTGTGATTACACAGTATTAGGCAGCCAAACATTAATCATATCCATTATCGACAACTGCTGATACTCGGGCCAATGTATTTTTTTAAATGACTGGTAGAACAAAATGTTTGAATCAGTCTTCTGTGGCAAAACACAAGTCGTCTGGTAAAAACATTGAATCTTTTACTACTACTAAGTTGACGTCATGTGACAAAATGCTGCATAGGCCAATCTCAAACACGTAAGCACACATTCTGGGTAGATTAATTTGTAATGTGAACGCTATTTACCTCGCAAACGCTGTGAGGAAAGATAAAATAATTGTAATTACGTTTCAGAGTTGTTTAACCTCATGTCTAAACAATATAACCACTGTGCAGTGATTTGGCGCCTGAGAAGCCTGTGATCTGTTACTCAAACTGAACTTCCTTGATTGAATTTCTTGTCTCTCGAAGCCTGAAGCAAAACAGTACCCTGCGATGTTTGGAGGCAGGGCTGCCTGCTCAGCTACTCCACACATTTGATGAAGGGCTCCTTCATCACCGCTGTATCCCGTAGCTACTCTGACAAACTGCCGGGAAGACGACGGCTAACTAGGCTGAAAAACATGATGAATGTAATGGTCAGTGCAAGAAGCTTAATTTAGTTTAGCTTCATTAATCAATGGGGAGCTAGATGACATCTGATATTAACAGACTCCAGTTTTTCTTTGCACAGTGAGGTTGACAAAGAAATGGACTGATTATAAAAATAAACTCAAATAGCAAAGATCTACCATCATCGGATTGAGCATATCCAGAGCTGCCAAATGTAGGCGATTACCAAAGCCTGCATGGTTTGTGTCTCTCAACTCTATATAGCACGATGAAAAGGTCTGTGTCGTTTTTATTTTCCCTTTAAGAACTTTGTAGGAGTGACTGACAAGGTGTATATCAAAAACAACTACACCACACAAGAACACTTTTGCCATTGTTAAGATTTGCTGAGAACTGGTGATGATTATATGAATGCTTCACACAGTTTGTGATTTTGGAGACAGATATTGACGTAGGTAGGGACAGTCTTAATAATAATAATAATTGCCAAAACAATAATGACTGAAATGCAAGTAAAACACCATCAGAGAAGGAATTGACCACGTGATCACCAGTTCTTCCTTTTTTAAACTTATTATAACCAACAACCGCGAGTCCTTGATAATGATAATTAGATAATTTGCCTTCCTTCAAAAATGTGTTAAGTTTGTGTCATCTTCAGTGTAGCTGCGTTTGAACGGGAGTTTGTTTTTGTGTTCCCATCTCGGCTGGTTCAGGCCTGTCATGGACAGTTGACTCCCGAAGTCTTTACTGGCAACTGAGTTTCAACACAGTTAACAGATTGACATCTTTTGAGCAAAGTCCGTCTTTTCAAATCCAAACCACCTCCATGCGAGTCAGGTGGATCCACGTTTAGCAATTTAATCTAACGTAGATTGTGAGGCTGGTGGTGTCAGTGTTATATCTCTTGACACCGTTTGTTCATTAATCTCCAACTTTAGTCAGGAATATTTCAGCTTGTTTAACTCTAGCACAAGTGTACTACATGCTTGACGCAGTGACTGCGTGGACAAAGATTTATAGTTTTTTGCAAAGTGAGCGAAGTAGCCTTCTTAATAATGTCTGCTCACACATTTTTAAAACAATTAAGATATAATCGTAGACAATAAATATCACACACTCCTAATCTTCCAATAGACCTCCAGGCCAAGCTTGTTTCTGCAACTGAAGTTCAGGGAGTCTTTCGATGACCATGATGACTGTAAATTAGCAGCATGTCAATCTGACCAAATCAAAGTCAACCTGTATGACCACACTCCTTCTCAGACATCCTGCTCATCAGGTGTGTAAGAAAATGTTCTGACATGTTTCGTTTCGTGGTTTGAAAGATCTACAGTATAGCGAAACTCACCCCAGCGGCCACTTCATCTTTGTTTGCTATATCTATGGGAGACACCTCCACAGTCCTCCACGTCTGCTCGTCCAGGTCATGGACCTGGCACAAAGAGAAAAACAAGAAAGTAAACCTCAGTTCAGCACACAGGCAATAATTTGTTTCTCCCATGGGAGAAACATTCAAATCTAAGCAAATGAAATTCAAATTCAAAACACAGGTGCTGTTGTAACTTGGACATTTCTCTCTTGCTTGTGCAACAACCTTCTAAATGCACATGGCAGCAGAAGATTATGCTTTCCTACTTAAAAAAAAAAAAAAAAATAGGCATGTGGGCCTCTGCTGCATCAACTTTTGTTTCTCTCAAGGCCCCTGACTTAATGGAAGTGCAATGCCAAAGCACTGGAGTGCCCCTCTAACATTGTCTTCTGCTCACTTACATTTTCTATTGTTCCCATGTCAGGTTTGTGCCACGTCTCGATCTTTATCATAAAGTCGTCCTTCATGTACTCATTCTGAAAAGAGGTAGAAACCACACAGATTTTAAGGAGGATAATGAATATTTGGCCTTTTCGAAAATGTCTATTACTGACAAATTAGGTACCACTGCTAAACTGAATGATTGCAGGCGATCTCAGCCAGTGAAACACTACAGAGAACACCATGATCCTTCATTCATGGTGTTCTGATGTACTTAACCCAACAGCTAAATCCAATTAACTAATCAGATGTTTAGACTGAAACCCTGGTGGTGCTGCACTGCTTAGTTCAGACCTATTTTTAATTCTAGCAAAACGAGCAAGCTTGCAGCTAATGTTCAACAATATTGGACTGTGAAACTTATTTATTGGACCTATATTTTGTGCAGATGGGCTCAAGTATTCTTGCACATATGCTCGAGCATCCTTTGCACAGATATGAAATTTGTACAGATTTGCTCAAATGTTATTTGCCAAATATTCTAAGTATTGCTCTTTGCTGTAGTACCACCATTACTGCAATGCCACTTGAATACCAGTTGACATCTATACTGCATTTTGTATTTTTTAAATGTGAAACTACATGTTGTACTGCACGACACTGTCTCATCTTGACAAGGTCGCTGTTGTGAATGACAATCTGTTCTCATTCAGTCTACCTGGTTAAATAAAGGCAAAATAAAAAAATAAGAGACAGTGGTATCTAATATGTGTTACACATCTGTGAAAGTCAGGTGCGTACATCCAGTAGGATCGGTGTATATGTGGGGTTTATAATGGTTATAACTAAAAGGCCCAGTCACACCAGCATTTAAAACAGTTTCACAAAACAGCAACAATTAATTTGAATGGAAGTGCAGTGATTAGTGATTGTTGCTCGTGGGAGGAAATAAAATTGTGCAAACTTTCTGCATCAAATTTGTTTAACTTTGACAAGGGGATTTTGACGATTGATCAAAAGCGAGCCATCATAACAGTGCTGATCTTTGAGGGAACAGGCAGCCAGGGAGTCCAAAATGGAGCACGCTTTCGTCGCTTATTTAACTGTGTTGCAGCATCCCATTTCATTTAACTACTTCTGTGGGATTATAAACTGTACCACAAACAAGAAATGGAAAATAATAATTAATAACCATTGTTGTCCCATCTGAATTCCTTTTGCTGTTTCACTTTCTGGTGTGACCAGGCCTTAAAAGACAAAACGTTAGACAACTCACCGTCACAACTGCAGAGGAAGGAGGAGAAAGGGAAACAGAAGAAAAGATTAGCATCATTATTAAAAAAACCAGGGTGACATTTTTCATCTTTGAAAAAGTGAAACCTTTCAAACGCCACAGCACGTGTTTCCATACCATGCAAGTATGAATAGTATGATTGCAAGTATGAAGTATGATTTATTCGTCAGTGTGAACTTACTAGTACGACAGTATGGGTAGGCGTTCCAGGCCTTTTCGTGAAAAACTAACGCTCCCTCTGGTGCAATCATCTTCACATACCCTGGGACTTTACTGTATTGGTAGAAAAAGGAGTCAGACAGTCAAGTCCATGGTCCTTTCAACAGCAATAACTCACAGGTCTGGAGCAGGCTGTGTATTTAAACCCTAAAATAACCCATTTTGTTTTGCCTGCTTTAAGATTAAAAGTAATTACTGAGCATTTTCAGGGCTTTTGTCATTTTTTGATTCTACTTGCAATGACTTGTCCTTTTTGTTGTTGGTGGCACTGTGAACCATTTAATGCAAAATCAAAGTCAAAATATTACAGGGTAGACAAAATAAGAGGAAATCATGACAAGGAAGATAACGTTTGTCTTCAGAGCAGCTTCTGTTACACTACGCAGAAATTCTGAATATATTTGATTAGGGAAGAAGGCCTCAAGCAATAAGAGGAATGAAGAGAGAATCTACTCTTTCTTACGATCATGATGTACGCCATCTCGGGATTGTTGAGTCCCTGAACAGTGTCTGACTTTATGAAATTGCTCTTGAATTTGTTTGGCAGCGTGTACGGAGATATTATCATCTTGAAATACGGAGAGCATCACGCAGGAACGGTGTTCGGTACTGAAGCTGGTTCAGTAAAATGGCTGCTTATTCTGGCTGATGTACAATCATGCAGAGCAGTCAGACACCTAATGTCTCCCCTTAGATGGCTGGCAATACCGTTTTCCCATTCCCAGATTTAATAGCTGGCAACAGGCACCGTCTGTTAATGGTGTCCTGTAAACCAAACAAACACATCCAGATGGAGGCAAAGATTCAGACCATGTTGCCATTACTAGCCCTCCAGGTTTTATGTACCTTACATACTTGGGTAACTTGATCGGGGTGTTGCCCAAAGATGATAACAATACCATAAATACCTACTTTGTCAAGTTGGTTATTTTAGGAGTACTTGTTTTTTGAAACAGGTACTTATGGCACAAAGGCTGCAGATGAAAAAGGAAAAAGAAGAAAAGAGGCTCTGTGAAAGCGTCAATGTTTCCCAGTTTTGGGACATGCTGGACAGTTTTGACCAGCTTAAAGCTAATGATGCAGTTTGCAGCGCAACAGACTGAATGTCTGTCCGATGTACCCGTTACTATAGTGGAGGGAAATACAATTCATTTCAAATCATCAATATCTTCTGTTTTCAACATACAATTTCAAACCACTGCCAATACAGATAGTGACCACCCTTAAACATTGCACACCCGTGATATAGTTAAGAAAAGTTAGTGAAAATTAAGTTAATAATTAAATATGCACATTGTAATTTCAATAGTTTGCTCATTTATGAATATATTGACATCAAATCACGTCATCTGGACATCCTCTCAGTTTTTTTTTTTTTTATTAAAAAGGAGTGTATGTAGAAGTAGTTTTAACCATGGTATCAAATTGGTATTGAGAATCGTGGAATTTTACAGGCATCTGTATCGAAGACGACATTTTTGGTATTGTGCCACCCCTATGTGAGTGTAAGTAAAAGCTTTCTAACCAATGGTGATTCCATTTTTTTGTCCACCCTGTGACTTTTCTGGAAATGAGGTCAGAAAGAAATGCAAACCTTAGGGTTTTATTAAAGGTTAATTTCACAGACTTGCCTCTTTAGATGGTATATTTTATGTGTGTATTGTCCCTTCTCTCCATCCTTCTCATAAGGTTCATTCTTCAGCACTTCGATGCCTTCTCCACCTCCTGTCTCATTCTTGCTGGCCTCAGCCACAGAGAACAGCTGCCCTACTTGATACTGTGAGAATTGGGAAGAGAAAGGAAACAGGATTGTTCCCTGTAGTTTAAGGATGTATGTTCAGTGTCTGTGATTATTTACTAGAATAGGCAAAGACGAGACAAAAAAACAAAAAAAAAAAAAAAAACAGAGCAGGTCCCTGAAGCCAAAACAGGTGCTTCAGGGATACAGTACCACTGACAGCCACCAGATGCTCATGCCAGCAGTCTTGGCCTCTTAATTGTGGTGTTTCTGCTGCTTAATTGGGCCTTGAGCCATTATGTCTGGATACATTAAGGTGGGTGTGAGCAGTAAACTCAAATTAAGGCTTCAAAACATCCTGTTATCAACCTGTGGCTGACCTCACAAAAGCTTCAGTCGATCATAAATACATTTTCAAAATAAACTTTGTACTCTAATTAGGCCTCATAGGCAGAGGTTTTGATAATGGGATATTAACAGCTTTTGTTAGGACGTTACTGCTGGTACAATTACTGTGAAGGAATACTGGACAAGGAATACTAAAAAACAAACCAATTATTTCTCTAAGTGCCAACCACAATGTTTTTCCCCCTAGCAGAGAAGGCTGTGAAATAGGGCCAATGTATGACATCACTGGATAGCAGCACAATGGTTTCTGGGCTCACTGAACTAAAGGTTGTCTAAGTTTGAGGGTAGATGGAGTAAAACAGAGAGCCTTATTCCCTCCCTTTCCGGTGGCCCACCATGTGACGCTACTGCAGATTACACACATGAGGTTTGTGAATTTAAAAGATAATTTTGCAAGTCAATGAAGTCGCAGTTTGTCGTACAAATGTAACTCTCAACATGGCCAGACTTGTAAAGAATTTCACCTCCTTCATTACCGCCTCGTTATGGTGACGGCCATGTTGGAGACACACACATTTTTATATATATAAAAAAAAAGATTACATTTACTCATTCGGCAGACGCCTTTTATCTAAAGGGACTTACATTTAAGGCACAACATACAAGCATCAATACAGTAAGAGATCTACATGTGACATTAGATACTATTAAGTTGGGGTGGGAATCACCAGAGGCCCCACGATACGATATTATCACAATACTTATGTCAAGATACGATATTTTAGCGATTTTAAACATACTGCAATTTGTTGTCTCCCCCCCCCCCAATTTTAAACTCTTTCTAGTGGACTGAAAAAGCAATTGCTTTTGTTATTATAGTACCAAAAAGTAAACGTCTCATGCACAATTTATATAATAAAAGATTAATACTTGACGTCCGTGTTACGATATGATCTTGCCACGGAAAATATCGCGATACTATGCTGTATCGATTTTTTCCTCCACCCCTACTAGTAAGAGCTATTAGCGCATATGAAATCAATGGGATACATATCTAGGGAATAAAGTAAGAGTTAGTGAAAAGTCCAATCAATACAAGAGAACTGTAAGGCGATAGAAGAGCATGCAAAGTGCATGTGCGAGACGGGATATGTAGTTCATTTAAATGTTACTTTACTGTTTTACAAAAAACTGCGACTTTCTTGACTTGCAAAATTATCTTTGAAATTGACAAAAGTGTGTAATTTAGCACAGGGGTAAAAATAAATAGTTGTCTCTCGCTGTTGACTACCGTGCATATTTTTCCCCATGGGGTAGAAGCAGAAGGGACGTGCTTTAGACTCTTAGCAACAAAAACTCAACAGAAATCATTTTTTGTGCAAAGAGCAAGATGACAAAGAGATTGCAGTTTAAAGGCTGAGCTCACACCCCAAACACCACCACCAGCCTGTTACACCAATACCAGCGCTCTCTCCAACAAAGGCTATTTTGTCTTAGTATGCGGCCCAGATGAAAAGCCAGAGAGGACGAGCATTCAGCGTACAGTAGAAAATAAACACTATCACTATTCCACTGGTTTAGCCTAGCTGTAATATTGTGTTAGGAACACGTAGGAAAACTGGATTCAAATAATATTCTCTAAAAGTAATGTATGTAATACATGTAAAGAGGTTTTGGAGGTAATAATACTCACCTCTTCCACAGAGACTGGCAACACTACACGGCTGAGAGAGGGAAAACAGGGGAGAGGTGGGGCAGGAAATGGAGAGAGAAACATAAGTTAAACACTTGTGTGTAGGTAAAACACCGCAGAGTTTAAGATTTGAAACAGTCCATGTTTGAGCCTAGGCAGAAAGTAGAAGTCCTGTTTTTTTTACACTTAAACTTTGATTAAAACTGATTAATATTCCTGTGATTGTGCACATCACGATCCTTTAATGCACGATGGGCACTGAGTGACCAAGTCAAGATGGAGAAGCGTGACGTTGTGTATAAACAGTACTGTGACCATCTTTGGGGAAAAAATGAAGTGGCCCTGTGCTAAAAGAGGAAAATCTCTTATGTCTGAATGTTACTGAAACTACTACAAACGTCCAATTTACGCAGTGAAAATACACTTACAAACTAGAGAAGCAGCTCAAAATGCAGTAAAACCAGTGTTTGACTATGCACATAATATATGTATGGATATTACACCTTAATTATGAGGGAAGCCATTATACAGACATACAGTAACAAGGACTTGCTCTCCTGTGGTCTCCTGCCTTCTCAGGAAGCACCTCCTCCACCCACTGTCTCAATTCCCCTCTGCTAAGACTGGCAGATTCACCTCCCCACCCTTTACCTAAACAGAAACTGATTGATGAAGCTTGCTGGAGGCGGCGCACAGGCTGAAAGTATGCAGTCTGACCCAGTGAGTTCATGGCAGAAAGTCCCTTAAGCTACAATGGAAAGCAATTATATCTTAAGGGTAAGAGTAAAAATGTACTGTAAGAGACTCGGGTGTGGTCAGTAATACCCAGAACAGAACTTTACAGCTGCAATAACTGATTGAACTGATGGAAAACAGAACAGCAACTATTTTGATAATTAACTGATTGTTTGGGTTATTTTGTCTGGCAAAAATACCAGACATTCATGGTTTCCATCTTCTTTTTTATCATGATTTTCTGTGTTTTATGTCATTGTAACCTAAAAACTCAGTTTTAGACCGTTTGTCAGACAAAACAAAGAAAAATCTGAAGGATATCACCTTGCACAAGCATTTTACAAATGTGCATCAGCACACATCTATCGCTTTCTCTAGCTATCCATATATGTATAGATCTCTCTATACCTCTTCATCTATATATAACCTGTCTAAAGAACCATACAGATTTTGGCACCGACAGTCTTGTAACTGGAGGAACAATGTGGCACAACTGGAAAAACAAAAAGGCAGCTTGTTGTTTGTGGTCTCTTGGCTCGTACTTGTGTGTGGCTTTTGTAACATAAGGATTAACATATCAGCTCTGGCAAAATGTACAAAAGCCTCCACTGCATTGAGACTGAAGTAGATCAATCGTGCACACAATCCTGTGCCACAATGAGCTCAGAGCGTTCACTTTCTGAAGTCTACACACCTGTTTATATTTCCCCTGAACAGTTTAGATTAGATTTCAGCACGAGATGTGAAGTCAATCAGTGAAACTACCAGTGGTACACTTACTTCCATCTTTTCCCAGTGATATATATTCACTATAGGTTTCTGTGTAAGTGTTCCTCCATAATATCAGTTTCATTTTACTGGTAAACGAAAGGGGAGGGATTACTAATCAAAACCATTTGTTTTGCTTCTACAAAGCTCAAATGTGACCATGACAAAAGTAAATTTCAGACAAAAAAAAGGCATTAAAGGACTGCAATGTGCTTAAATCCCCTACTATTAGAGAATTCAGTACTTTTCAGCATACAACCATGTGTGTAAATGGGTTTTGGTTAGAAAAATGTGTACGTTTATTCCAGGAAAAACATACACGATATGATGCCGCAAGTGACATGTTTCCTGGCAGTCTGCAACTTAAATATTCATTGTTGTGCATTTATTACTCCCACATTCACACTCACTAATGCTCACTTTGTGATGGAGAGAAGTAACACCTGCAGCACAGAGAAGGATTAAACTTTAAATAACTTTGGACTATAAAGAACAAGACTATTAGAATGATTCACAAAAGCTGACTAGTCACAGGTCAAGTAGTCTTGTAGTCATATTTATGATTATATTTAAGATCCAGTTAAAGCCCTCTGTGCGCCTTCACAGACATCTGCAGCACAGAGGGGGAAATCAGGCTTTATAAAAGTTTATATCTTGAGATGCCCAGTCGCACAAAACAAGGCTTTTCAATTAGCCATCTTAGGCTTTAGAAAACTATGATGCACATTTTCCTGACATTTTATGAACTAAACATTTAAACTGAAAAATAACCTTCTTTATTAAATAATAAGATTGCATTTCTTTGCTTGTGTTTTTATTTAAAAGCTGACTAGGTGATGTATACACAGGAAGTCCAATGTACCTGTTCTGTCTTGTACTTGTGCAGATTGAAAATAAAATCTAAATTGGCAGATTGAAAATAAAAATATTTGTTAGTTGCAACCCTAAATTAAAATAGAGGGGATCATTTAATTACAAACATGCCATTGCTTGCAGATCTGTGCAGACATGTATAGCATGTTTCTCTGTTAACCATGGCCAAAGCAACATTATTATGTAAGTGGAGCATTTCACAGTATGGGTAAGTAGGTTAAGCAGGTCTGTCGGTCCATTTTATTTACAGCAGGTAGAACTAATTTATGTCACAATATTTATCCTGCGTTTTTATGTTTTATGTGTAAAAATGCATGTAAAAACACTTTGATGCCAGGGTTGCACAAATAATCCCATAAGCTTTAGTGCTGAACTGATTTGAAGTACTCACAAGAAGACGTTCTTAAACAAACACCTAAAAGACACTGAACAAGATAAAAAAAATGTCCCTGAAGTTGAATCAATATCTTGCAGTTAACTATAAAACAAAAAACGTTTTTACTTCCACAAAATGGTATTTAATGCACTACTTTTGATATCTTAGTTTTCTCTTGTGTATGGGATAACCACTAATAGGGCAATCACACCGGTGGTGAGAAGTATGGCAGAGCTCTCTCTCTCACAGATGCATTAAGATTATTCACATCTATATTTTCTCTTCATGAACTCCTAAAGATAAAAGACTTACACATTTGAACATAAGCCCAGGTTGCAGGTTAGGAAAACTTGATCAACATGTTTTACATTTACGAGTGTATCTTCTGTACATAAGCTCATTTTAAATAAGAGGATTGTTGTTAATGAGTAACATTATTCAAAATTTGTCATGACTGTTGTAAGGACATGATGTGATAGCATCTGTTTGTTTATAGACTATAAACAAACAAGACAGTAGATAATATACGGTCCATAGTGAGACTAGGGCTGTGCAATAAAATAATGATAATTATCGTGATGTAATTTTCCTCAATAACAATATAATAAATGTTCAATAAAGGTTTGATTTAATTCATTTGAATGACTAACAAATTAGCAATTAAGTTTTCTATTAAGATATTTATTATGTTAAGGAAAATGGACCGAAAATAGATTTTACTTATTTTACTCGTGCATATTTGTTCAAAAATATTTTTTCATAATGGTTTTGAATGTTCTGCCTCAGATTTGTTAAGTGATCCAGTGTTTGGCATTAAGTGTTAACCATAAAATACAGTTTAAAACCACAATTAACCATTTTGTTTCTTCAAAAAATATAATGATTTGACATTTATCCTGACAATGATTGATGTTGAATGACATGTTTTATTGTGAAAAGTTTAGGCCATATGGCTCAGCCCTATAGTGAGACACTAGATTAAAGGACAGCTTGTGGGCAAATTATCACATCAGCTCTGCTAAAAAAAAAAATTAAAATAATAAACTGATATTATCCTGACATGTCTAATTGGATATCTTCAGCCAAATATATTGTTTTTATCACAACTACTGTATACCATTCATCTGGTTTACTGTATACCTTTGTTTTTATATTGCCTGTCATGTAATTTGTTAGCACTTTGTAACCGTGTTAATAAAAGTGCTGTACAATTAAAGTTACCATTTCTACTTTGCTATGAATATATCAAAGCTATAGAAACACTGCATGCATGTTCAAGTTCTAATTTAGTTATATAGCATATTTAAAAAAAACAAAAACAACAACAACTAGTTGACTAAAGTGCTTTCCAAGCTCAGGAGACACAAACATACAATATAGAAACCAAAGACGGTAGAAAAGGTCAAGGTGTCAAAACTCAACTCGAACTGAAAGCCAATGAACAGATGTGGGTCTTAAGCAAGGACGTGACAATTTCATCAGTCTGAGCAGGTCTTATTTGAAGAGGTTTGGGGCAGCTACAGTAAAAGCTTGATCACCTTAATAATTATTATTATTATTTTTTTTTTTACTTGGATCTGGGGACATCGAGGAGTATCTGATCAGGCGACCTCAGAGCTTTGAGATGAGTGTGAACATGTGAAAGTTCTGATAAATAAGAAGGTGCCAACCCATTTAAAATCTTTAAAAAAAAAAAATCACTCCTAAGCGTCTTGGAAGTAAAAATAAAATGGCATGCAGGTGATGCTTAAACTCCAAACCAAAGCATTGCTGCATCCATTTGTTGTTTGAAAAACATATCAAGTGCTGAGCAGATTTTTTTGCTGCTGTGTTTAAAGTTAGCACTTCTGCTAAGTGTAAACAGGGGAATACAGGGGGAGAGAACTGGGCTAACTCAACACCCCGATGGCTACAGGTACCGTTATCTGTAGCGGATGTATGTTAGCCACAGAGTAAAAGCTAGCTTTGCTGCTAAGAAGAAATACAGCTCCAACACAACATATGTATGGGGAAGCTATCTGATGATTAATCGTGCTAAAAGAGGCAGCTTACAGTAGGTTAGCCGCCCAGTTAAAGAGCTAACTCACTACTGCTAGCGTCAACAAACTAACAGCAAAGTAGTTAGTCTTCTAGCTAGCTTAAAGGGTAACATTACTGCTAACTTATGTGGTTTCGGCCACTGTGGGAGGATAATTCCTGCCACGCTCTTCGTAAAAAGCGAAGGTTTTAAGTCTGAAACACAGGGTATAACTTAGCAGCTAGCTAATGTTAGATATGTGCTTTACATACAATTGTCATGGTAGCAGCTAGTCGGCTGCTACAGCTAACTTTAGCTCCAAGCTAATGGTAAATCCGACGAAGAAGGAACCTTAATCTGTCACTCACGGGACTAAAAGCTTAACATTACGGCACTTTAGAGATCTAAAACGCGGCTAACTTGTCCCGCTAACGTTACGTTAATTGTGGCGTTTTGTTCATCTATCAAAGCCATGTTAACTAATTATGTGTGGTTATTGTTTGTACATAAGAAGCACAGGTTTTTTTATGCAACTCCTTTTCATTAAAGAAGCTAATTATCTCCCTCTGCTGCTCCAACTCAGAAGCTAACGTTAGCTTAGCTTAGCTTAGCTTAGCACTAGCAACGCCTAAAAAAGACCGGTGTGTCCCGTTATCCACGTCCTGATCCACCTCGCTCAAAGATGGGTTTTTGTGGGCTAGATGGTTGTAAAATCAAGCGAGCGGAACCACTAAACGATATACACATGTTTACTCATCAGTAATGAGTTCTTGCATGTGTAAAAATACAGTTTCAAATGCGCTAAAAGACATTTTTTTTAAAACACTTCAGACTCACTATTCCTTGATGAGCACCATCTTCGTCACCCGGGCTGCGCCTGCGCACTGAGAGTCCACACCAGACAGCATTATCAACAAGTTAGCCCCGCCCCCAGGGACACATCTGATTGGCTGATTCTTCCTCACACTGTATGTGATGAAATCAACGAAACATTTCAATGATAATAAAATAACAGTTGTACATTTTACAAGAAAGAAGAAGATTAATTGTTAATGCACGTTTACCATAACATAATATTTGTAAAGGACACAGTAGAGTTAATTAACAAAGGCACTGTTACTTTATTTGATTATCCCCCAAGATATAAATTACATATAGACTTTATCTCTCTCTCTCCCTCTCTTTACTTATGTGTGTATTTGTGTGAAAATCCCATTAGATCGGCAGTTTCTGAAATACGCAGACCAGTCCGTCTGGCACCAACAACCATGCCACGTTCAAAGTCACTTAAATCCCCTTTCTTCCACATTCTGATGCTCTGTTTGAACTTCAGCGAGTTGTCTTGACCACGTCTACATGCCTAAATGCATTGCCATGTGATTGGCTGATTAGTTATTTGTGTTAACATTTAATTGAGCAGGTGTACCAAATAAAGTGGCTGGTGAGTGTATAATAAAATGAAAGTAAATAAGTAAAGTAAATGAAGGAATGAGAACCATATTAGAAATGTCAAATAAAAAAAGGGGAAACAAACACATGAAATAAGAACAGATGTTTACATACAGCCCACAGTGGAGTGTATAATGACCTTATTTTATGGATTATCCCATGTCACACAAACAAGTCCTACCAAAGATGCAAAGGGGAATTAAAAGAGCACCATGAAAGTATTTTAAATTATCTGGCTATAAAGTGTTATAAAGACAATATCTCTGCTATACATTTTTATAAGATTAGAGCACTGTTACCTTACTATAAAAAAATACTCTTAATACAAGAGAAAGTCTTGCTTCAAAAATGTTTCTTGGGTTTAAGCAAACAAGTATAAGCTACAAAATAAACTTTAAGTATCTAAGTAAAACTACATTATGCTCATGTCAGTATTATATTATTGGATCATTATTATTTATGCATCAACTGCCTTTTATAGAGTTAGAGAGTTAAAGATATGCAAAGTGTCATATTTTATAAAGTGATCAAATGTTTTGTGAAATATAAATCAAAAAAGTATAGCAGTTTAATTTATGTAGTGGAGTATACATATAAAGTAGCTTAAAATGGAAATTCTGAAGTACCTCAAAATTGCCCTTAAGTACAGTACTTGAGTAAATGTTCTTAGTTACTTTACAAGACTGGACTAGAGTGACTTTTTGTAGGATTGAACACGACTTCCGAAATCTAAGATTTACTGTTTCGTGTGATTTATGTCATTAAAACAAGACCAGGAAAGGAACATTTTTATTCATCAACTTCTTGAGAATTGAGATATCTCTAAATAGGATTCCGGCACCGCTGCAAAAAATTGTACATTATAAAGTTACTAAACACGCTGAACACCAAGCGGACGATCACACATAAAGTCAAATCTCCATAAAAATATCAAAATGTTTTCTTTACTTCTTCCTTGGTTTAATTGTCTTTATAAAATGTATAATAATGACTGGAAAACACAGTTTACTTTACAAAATAAATGACAACAAGAAGCATCGATAATGACATTTAACAATAATTATTACACAAATCAAGATTAAAATTCAGGCCACTTACACAAATATAGCGAGCATTTAGGCTGACAAAAAATGTTCTCCTTCTCTGAAAGTACACGTAGACACCGAGACACATGCTCCGCAGTCAGTCATAAAAACACAATTAAAGCCAGAGACTCAACACTTCTCTAAGAGTCATTTTGTCCTTCCAGCGCTCTCCAGAAGAAGGCACAATCATCACATTTAATACATTAACATCCCTTACAAAACAAGTAATGACGTTTAAAATCACCGTCAGCATGACACGGTACTTTTTTAAAACTTGTCTTCAACAGGTATTGCTAAAAATGTGGCTGACAAATAGACAGCTTCTGTCGTAGTACAAACAAACTCTGGGTTCAGCGTGGCAAACATCCTTAACATTTAGAAGATGGAAAAAATTGTCCAGGTGAGAGAAACTTGTAGCCGTTCCCAGAGGGAGGTTTGATGCCTCCTTTAGAGTTTGTGGGAGGATTAGAGGATGGAAGTGGAGTTGGTTTAGCCTCTAGTTTTTGGTGACCATTTGGTCTGTCACCAACATTGTGATCCTTAAGTCCCTCTATATTTTTACTAACAGGCTCATGTCTAGGTGAGAGATTTAGCAAACCCAAAACATCTTTCTGAACTGTACTCATTTTTTTATTCCCGCCTCTGAGTAAACTGGCAGGGCAGGGCCCCTCGTGTTTCTGGCCAGCGTTGGCCCAGAAGGTTTTTAAGTTATGAATTGCCTGGACTTTGTTTTCCTGTTTTGACTTGTTCAGTTCGGGAGTGTTTGCAGGGCTGGAGGAGGCCGAGACGGACCCTGTGGAGGAATAGGAAAGGGCCGGCGAGGGTGCACTGTCAGCAGGAGAGCGCGAAGGTGAGATGTGGGCTTTGTAAGGTGAGGTAGGGTATTTCTGTTTGAGATGCACATCTGGGGACGACGTGGGGAGAGGTGCGCCCTGCTCTTTCAGAGGGAGCGATAAAGACGGAGAGGAATGAGCTGGGCTGTTGTAGCCGGAGCTGATTTTCTGCAGTGATGAGGAGCGGGATGGCGGTTTGGGCCGAGTTGGGGGAGGCGTTGAAACCGAAGCGGAGAGGGGTGAAAGATGACTAGACAGGGAAAGAGGAGAGGAGCAAGCCTTTAGACTTGCTCTGCTGGGTGGTCTGCTAAACGCACTGGTCTCCGAGGGCTGAAATCCTCGTGCTGCTCCTGTGGGAGATAAAGTTGGGGTTGTGGGAGTGGAGAGAGAAGGCTGCCTGGCTTGTGCCTCTTCCCTCCCCTCAGGCCCCCTCAGGGTCTTCCCTCTAAGGTTTGCTTTCTGCAGGCTTTCCACAGCTTGCATGTGGTTCTGAGTCTCCTCCAGAATCTTTTGGGCCAGTACTTGGGGATCCAGTTGTCCCGCAGGGCCAGTCCTCTCCTCCTGGGACTTGACAGTGCTGTCTGTCTCAGTACTCGACTGGTCCGACTCTGAGCTGCTAACTTTCCCCTTCCCAGTCCTGGATGAAGAAAAAAAACCAGCAACATTTCTTAAATGAGCCCATCTACAGTAGGAACAAGAGTTACACATTATCTAAGACTATAAATGCTGACATGTAGTTTTTGAAACATTAACACTTGATGACCTGTATGAAATATCAGAAAAGCCAAAAGATTCAGAGCTGCAAAGGGGGAGGAGTTATTTTGGGGTATCCAAAATATAAGTCCAGTAAATTTTCTGCCTGAAATGTATGATAATTGTTTCTGATGCTTAATATTTATTTCCTCTAACCATGAATTACTAAGTGCTTTTTATATGTATGTATGTAGGTATGTGTACATGCATGTGTGTTTGTGGGCATGTATTTATGTATTGTTGTTGATACGATTTGGACCTTGAGATTCTAATCAAGTTTTGATTGATTGATGCAAATCACTGTGTCCAGGTTTTCTTTTTCTTGATCTTGGAGCAGTGCCTTGTTCTTTCTCATTTCAAGATACAATCATTCCTGAAATTCTGTATTACAAGTTGATTTCTAATGGATTTCAGGACTCTTATAGACACAACAGACTTGAGAAGATGGAGACCTCTATTATAGTTAAACTATTGAATGCGGTGCTGGCTGCTTCAAAGCTGTGCTGAGGTGCACGGCTGGATGGACAACCGGGAGCTAAACTGCATTGCTCAAACAACTGGACTGCATTGCTTCATGAATAGCTGGGAGCTGAACAGCACTGCTTGAAAAATGACTGGGAGCCAAACTGCATTGCTGACTTAACTTTATTTGAAGGGGAAGCTGAAGGAGTATGAAGAGTTAGAAGAATAATAGGGAAAGTATAAAGGGGGGTAAATATATTGTAATGAACAACAGAGTTTTAGTGTAAGGAGCTCAAGTGTATGGAGAAGGTGTTCAAGTGTCTAACTAACTAGCTAACTTCTGAGTGAGTCTTGGGTTCATGTAACAGAAATTGAAAGGCATTTGTGTATTCTGCACCCTCAGCATGGAATAAGTTGCAAAATGCCTTGAAACCCATTGAATTAATTTCACCAAAATGCTTTTAAATCCAAAATGAAAGAGGCAAATACCCTAATATGTAAATGGTGTTAGATTGTGAAAATGACTTTAAATGACTTTATAAAATGTTACCTTACTAGTCTTTTGTGTTATTTGTCTGTGTTTTGTATTTTTATATATGCTGCTGCCTGTTTTGGCCAGGTCACCCTTGCAAAAGAGGTTCTCAATGGGACTCTCCTGGTTAAATGAAGGATAAATAAAGAAATATAATAATTGAAAGGTAACTTCGGTGTTTTGCAACCTGGATCCTATTTTCCCATGTTTTTGTGTCTATGTGATTATTTGGGACAATATTTTTTGAAATTGATCCAGTAGTTGGCAGCAGTGAAACAGGGCTGCAACATAATCCTTGCAGGAAATTGAGCCTTGTCAAAGTACGTCCACTAAAGTGCTTGTTTTTGCCGCTGACAGACTTAGGTTGTTGTTGTTATAAGTGTCTGACAACAGAGAAAGACCTTTTTTAAAGTGTAAGATCATTTTTGTTTAACCAGAGACAGTCAATATATCGCTCTCCTCAAAGCCACCAGACTCCATTGACAAAAAACATAAATTTTACTTTAGTTTGTTTGTGTAATTAAAATTAGTTGTGTTTTGCAAGGTATAATTAGTGTTTTTGGTAAACACATAACAAATTAACCTGAAATATTAATAGTATGAAAGAATGAATGAAGTTCCTACGTTGAACTGTTGAATCAGTTAGGTGCCAAAAACGATTAAAAAAATTCTGTTGCCAAGAAATCCCACTAATTATCCAGAAGACTCTCATGTTTCCATCCAACACAAATATAAACCTGCTGATGGTGGCAAAGGAAAAGTCAGAGAGCCTCATTTAAAGATGTTAGAATTATTAATTGATTAGTTATCAACTATTAAATTAATCGCTATGAATTATAAATAGCTATTATGAAAATCAGTTAATCCAATTGAATACATTTTTAAGAAAAAAGTAAAAAATTATCTGATTTCAGATTCTTAAATGTATTTTCAGGTTTCTTTCCTCCTCTATCACAGTTAAATGAGTATCTTTAGGTTGTGGACAAAACAAGACATTTGAGGACATCATCTTGGGAGAAACACTGTACAACATTTTTCACAATTTTCTGACATTTTTTAGACAATAAAATAACTGACAGATTAATCGACAATGAAAATAATAACTCTTCAGGATACTTTGTCTTGAAACCATGAAGCTCTGTGCAACATTATGTGCCAATCCAACTAGTAGTTATTGACATATTTCAGACTGGAACAAAGCGATGGACCAACTGACTGACCAGCATCCCTCTATTAGGACGTGCCGCTAACGTGGCTAATAAAACTAATTCGCAGCACCTCATCCTTTACTTTACACTTTTCTTCAGTGACAATCTTTCTTTGTGACTGAACCATTGAACTTACATGTCCTGCTTGGGTTTGGGGCTGGCAGGAACTTTTAGGGGCAACGACGGAGCTTTAATTGGAGACGTAGGTGTGCTGATGCTTCCCTTGGAGGAAATCGTAATAGGGCCATACCCATGACCCCCAGCGGACCCTCTCCCAGCACCTCCTCTGCCGTGTCTGTGTCCTGCAGGTAGTGGCAGCGTGTCACATTCCCTCTGCCCTCGTCCTAACGGCTCACTGCTGATAATGGAGTACCCCTCATACTCCTCTTCCTCCCCTTCTCCTGTCAATCCTCTTCCGTGATTGGTCACTCGACCTCTTGACATGATGCCTGACTGGCGCTGCGAGGCGTAGAGGCCCCCTCCCCTGCGAGGTCTCTCTAGGTCCTGCTGATGCGAGCGCTGGCTGATGATGTCACTTCCTGCGGGCTCAGGGCGGGACAGGAAACTGAGGGAGGAGGCGAGGGAGCTGAGGCTGTAGACGGAGATGGCGTCGCAGGAGAGGTTGTCAGGGCAGGCTGGGGGTAAGAAGGAGGGCTGAGGCGGGTAGCAGCCAAAGGAGAGGGGTAAAGAGTGAGGCTGGGAGGCCGACTGGGAGGACGACAGAGACTCCAGGGAGGAGGAACTGTCCATGCTCAGTCGCTTGGGAAGCTCTGTGGAGTCTGAAATAAGAGAGTTCAAGAATCAGGTTGGATTAGAGAAAAAGATTTAGCTTTGAAGTAAAAAAAAATATATATTCTCACCAAAGAGTGCTAGAAGAGACTGAAGGGCAAAATGCATGATGCGCCTGCTGGCCTGCTTTCCAGTTTTCAGCACGACCTCCTCCTGACCCACCTCGCAAAGATCAAAACCTGAGAGAGACAAGTAGTACGCTGGAGTACGCACTTGAGATACTTTTACTTCACTAGAGTATTTCCATTTTAAGCTAATTTTTGCTTATAACTCCTGCATATTTCTGAGGGAAATATGATCTTCTACATTAATTTGAGTGCTATATTTACTGGGTACTTTAGAGACTAGTGGTGGACAACTGGTAACTAAGTACTTAAATAATATAATACGTATGTACATTTATGTACATGTACTTTTATAGTGTGATATTGCTACTTTTTCTTAAGTAAAGAATCAGAATATTTCTTCAACATTTTATTACTTTTTTATCCCAAGCAACAAAAAGCTTTCATTCATTAGTCTCATTATGATATAAATGTAGTGCTTTCTAGTCTGAGCTGTTTGTGGCAAAGTAGTTTCACTTAAAAATGAAAGTCCAACTCTGTTTATTCAACTGCCGACTCACCGAGCGCAGCCAGGAACTCATGGCAGCCCGGCAGCCTCCAGAGCTGCACACTTATCGACACTTGAATGGGAGCCAGTGAGAAGTCTTGGTCTTTGTCGCCTGACTGCAACTGCACGAGCACTTGGTGAAGCTTTGGAGAGCAAAGGAGAGGTGATAATGATTGAAAGGAAGAATGAGAGAGAAAAGAGCTATGATACCCAAATATCATTTACAATTCTCATTAAAGTAAAATTGATGTTGCACCCACATCACAAAGATCTTTCAAATAAAACATTAGGCTTATTTATGTACACATCTTATCTTTGTGTGCCTGCCCTGACGACAGTCTTAACACTTTCTTTGAACTGTAGGCAGCATCATGAAACACTTACCATTCCCACCATGCTTTTAACCGCCTTTGTGAGGTGGGTATGGGAGAAGAGGAAACAGAACTTTAGTGGTTTATTTCTGCGTAAATGTTGGATTTGAGTCATTGCACACGCAGCCATGCATTAATGATGACGTGCTTATGTTGATGAAACCTGATGATACCCATGTGGTATGAAGGGCTCCAGCTAGCAAAGAGTGACTAACACATAAACACAAAATGAGCAGTGGTGTGTTCTTTAAATACCGCTCCACTTGAAGCTGTCTGACTACAAGAAATTTATTTCAGACAAGTAACCTAAGCACATTTATTCAAGGATTGTTCTTCAATATGACATTTGTATTTTACTTGAATATTATCATTTTGATACTTTATACTACTTTTACACTTCTGCTCTACTAAATTTGAGAGAAATATTGTACTTTTAATTTCACTGCATTTATGTGACAACTACTAGTTATTTCTCAGGTTAAAAACACATGATACAACACATTGTTTAAGGTTAAACTAGTTGCTCCCAAACTTTTGGCTTCTTACAAAAAAAAATGTGTGTCTAGTTTTGGCCCCTTATTATGTTTCAGAGGTCTAAGAGTTCCCCTTAAAACTTCATGGGTTCATTTAAATAACTGACCGATGATGTATGTACAAATATTTCGATACTAAATATTTCACAAAAATATCACTAGCACTAGAGCACTAGACTTTTCTCTCCCGTTAATCATCTCACAACCCATTTTACTGCAGAACCAGTTCTTTTACTAGTGATACTTTAATATATTTTGCTGATAATCCTTCAGTGCTCTTACTTAAATATGATACTGAAACCAGGACCTTTAATCCTAATGTATGAGTATAGTTAAATTGCGGTAATTAAGTAAAGGATTAGAGTACTTCTTCCACCACTGATATGAATAATACTAAACAATATGGCAGTACCTTATGAATGAGCTGTTCTCCGGCCTCAGATACTGTGACCAGTTTACAGAGAGCCTGCAGAGCGGGAGGAGTGAGACCTGAGGATGTACAGAAAAATAATTACACCCTCAAGCAGAGATTTCTTATCTCATCACGAAAGTATTTGTGTTTCTTTTGGAGACAGTGATTATTTATACATCTCGTCATTCATGAAAATCCTGATGTGATATACACAGACTAAATGTAATTTCACAGCAGACGGCTCACAATTCTTGAATTCTGGATCATGGAAGGACTAAACAGAGATATTTGAATAAAGGAAAAGCTGCGGTACCGAGCAGGGACTGCAGGGTGGTGCTGCATTGTTGCAGCCGATCCCCGGGATCTGAGGTCGGGAAGAAAACTGCAGCAGGGAGACCGGCACCACTACCAGAGAAGTCCAACCGGAAACCCACCGCAGACAGGAGGGCCTGCCACCCGGGCACCCCACCCACCTTACCGAGAGGAGAGACGACACATGAGTACAGGAGACACAAGTGGTGGAAAATAGTGTAAATAATTTAATGTAGGGGTTTTTAAAGTCTGAGACTGTGGGCCTCCCCCCAGGCAAAGCTTGGGAAACGGTGCCCCCCCCTCCTCCACATCTTTAGTTTACTTTGTACATTTCGCTCAATTCCTGGATTATATAATTTGATCCCATAGACACTCAACATTTGCTTAATATTGCTGTTTGACAAACTTCTGACTACACCAAATAGTTTAAAGAAAAGCTCTGTCCTAAGGCATTTATTAGTTTCTGACTCTGATGGGGGGAAAACAGTTCCTAAAAACTACTGTAACTCCAAACTCTCACACATGTAGGCTAGTCTATGGGATCTGATTTTGATAACTAATGCAATGTACAAAGCTACAGTATGTACATATTGTACTTTTAAGTAGCCTAATGTTGTCTGTTTATGTATCTTAAGAGTCTTTTTAAATGTTCTTTGTTGTTTTGCGTGTGCTTGGTGTTCGTCTCTCTTGAGCCTCCCCTGAAACTGTTTGAAGCCCCCCCTAGGGAGGCCCGCCTCACACTTTGAAAACCCCTGATGTAATCTAAATGTACTTAAATACAGTTTTGAGATACTTGAGTATTTTCATTTTCTACTACTTCTACTCCATCTTGAATGGAAATTTTATACTTTTTACTCCACTACTTTTATTCAATAACTTTAGTTACTAGTTCATTAGCCGAGTGAGATTAATATACACATTATAGTAAATCAATACATCAAATATGAAGTATCATTATAGATTAAAATTAAAACTTTATTGATCCTTGAGGGTAAAGTCACAAGCTACTCAGCAGTGTACAGAGTGATTAATTAAAATTAATGCAGCTGCAACATAGTTATAATACAGAAATGGGCCATTCTGTGTGAAGAGTACTTTTGATTTATGGGGTTATTTTCTTTATTCAAGTGTGGTCTGTTAATTTAAGAGCGTTTAGATGTTGTCTTGCTGTCCCTCAAAACACGGCCCTCGCAGACCCTGCTTGCACTTAGATTTTCTCTGCTTCTTACTTAAACTGCCAAACACCCCTGCATCGATGTGTAGATCATTTCATCGCTCACCCCGGCACCTCGCATTATATTTATTAGTTGGAGGATTTTGACAGGGTTATTGGACACAAAATATCCAAGAGCGGAGCAGAAATCTGAAAGCAAACATTTCACGAGTGCACAGAAGCAGCCTGAGCGTGAGGAGATCTGTGAAAGCATCAATATATTTGAGTGCAGGCACACAGTTTGAGAAAGCTTTATACTCCACTGGGAGACAAAGAGGTTGACATTTAAAGACACAGAGAGGGGAAGGCAGACACACAGACCTTGTTCTCGACGCTTTGCTGCGATGTGTACATTGGGTTACACTGACCGCTCTGAATGCGCTGCAAAGACTTCTCAACCTGCACAGAGAAAGAGACGCAGTTCAAACCATGTCAAGTAATCACTTTGGGATTTTCTGACGCACCTTGAGCTGCCATTTATGACATTTGGGGGATTTAAGTGCTGGACCGGTTAATAACCTGCTCTGATGGAGGTCTGATGATGGAGCTATGCTGTACCAAATTTGTATTCATTTCTGTGAGAGCTGAGTTTTTTTACCCATCTGTCTCAGCAATACACACTACCGGTTAAAAGTTTTAAAACAGCCTCATTTTAATCTAAGTAGTTCAAGTCCAGAGAAAAACCTTTAATGGTACAAAAGTAAGCAGCAAACTGCCAAAATTAAAAACAACGTTTTGTTGATTATTTCACTGTAGTGTGCTCTGTCTTCCGTCATTAATATTATATATAATATATAATATTGTACAAATAAAGCTTCTGAGGGTGTATTAACAGGCTGTTCCATGGTGTTTACTGTAGAAATGAGTTTCAAGGCTTCATTTCCATCCATTAATGCAGAATAACTTGAAGTTAACTCATTTCTTGGTCCCTGAAAATTGTTTATCTTTAATTGTTATTTTACATTATTTCTCAGTTTTGCTGACCTAAACTTTGTCTTTACCTTCTTTGGTTATTCTACAACAAAGGACTTGAACCACTTATATTTTAATAAAAACTAGAAAAATGGGGGTGCTCTAAAACGTTTGACCGGTAGTGTATGTATTTAATTTATTTTAAGTAAATGGAAGGAAGGTCATGCAAAACCAACGTGACGTTTTCGAATGTCGACCAAAGAAGTCCAAAGCCCAAAGATAATCAATTCACTTTCATAGAAGACAAAGAAATTATTCACATTTAAGAATCTGGAAGCAGTGAATTTCTTTGGCATTCATTTTCTGACTGTAAACTAATCAATTAATCACCTAATTGTTTCAGCTCTGTGTTGAACCATATTACATTTAAAATCAGACATGATGTTGCTACAGTCGCCCTAAATGTCATATGCAGAATAGTAATAGTAAAGTGTTTAAACGATCTGAAATTTACAACTTTATCTATTAATATCGTGACTTTTTTTGCTCATATTATTACGACATTAATTAATTCTTATAATCTCAGATTTCGTGTGGCTTTAACACTCTGTCCACTCATAAAACTAATATGATCAGATTGTGTGCAGACTCATTTGAACAGTGACACTGTTAAAACTTGTGAAGGTGTCGTACCAAGTGTAACAGCACTCTGAGGGCGTCCCGGGCCCTCTCTGGGTACTGCAGGATCTCTGCCAGGGCTTGGCCAACCAGCGACATGGGGCTGTTCAGCTTCACATCACTGCCAATCAGCATGTAACCTGAAGAAAAACAGCACATGGGGATATTAAAGACTGTAAAACACTAGATGATGTCATTTTAGTTTACCTTTGGGGATTAATCCAAAATTATGTTGCAGACAGTTTGGAGCTTGTTCCTGCTTATTGTGTGCATCAGAGTAGATGTGAGGAGTGGGAAGAATAACTCAGCTATCCATTGCTTAAATGGTTTTTACCATGCATTTAGGCAAAAGGCAGGAAGATATGAGAAATTTAGAACCCACTGTTCGATATTCTGTCCCAGCTTACTGTGTTGGTCGTCCTCTATTTTCACCAGGACCGAATAAACATTTCGGGAAAGTTCTCCTTGAGATCCACTTTACTTTCTACCCTGGTTTAAGGCAAAGATGACACTTGTTCATCCAACTTGGTTGTATGTAGATGCAAGGGCATAATTTCCACTGGAGATTAATATTCAAGTCTCTGAACAAACAAGCAGCAGAGATGTGTGACTTTATTTGCCCTGGGTTTCACCTCTCAGGCTACATTAAACCTGCACTACCTTATTGGTGGAGGTTGTTGGGGCTGAACGCAACTCAAGAAGAAGAGCTGCAAACTTTATTAAGCATTATAACAGAGTTATTATAATAATAAAATGAAATTAATAAAATTACATCTTATTTGTAACTCACTTTACATTTAAAGCAAATCTCAAAGTGCTACAAGGTAAAAGCATCAACATAATTGACAGATATAAAGTATAAACATGTAAGCAACAACAAGCAAGGTTAATTAAAAGTCATAGGTTCTGCTAAAAAGAAGATAAGTCCTTTTTTAAAACTCTTAGTCTGACATGATGTGAGAAGGCGATTTGAGTTTATATTTTAACAACTCGGAAAGTCTACAAACATTTCGGTACAACTTGCCAAGTTAACTTCTCATTATGCAGAAACATAGCAGACAAAAGTAAATGCTTTTAATTAATTCACATACTAAATATCAATTGTTTGCGCTGGTGTCCTTTGTAATATGGTATTAGGTTGTAAACATTAGTTGCTGTCCACGCAGAGTTACATCACATACATAGCAAACAAACATCCAGACGCTATTCAAGAAACTCCAGCGCAGTTGAAAGAACAACTTCCCAACTCAGGAAATGGGACTTTCTGAGGAGCACGTGAATGCAACATTATTGAAGAATGCACAATTAACAATTTTATCATAGTTTCTCTGTCTGTCACTCTAATTTTGTTTCAATTTCAAGACTCTGAAACCAGATTACGCCCTTGTGCAGCTGAACCAATCGTTTATCAGCAGCTGTGATTAACTGAAAAGTTCTGTGGGACTACGCTGAAACGGTTTAACGTTCACAATGCTGATATCTAATCACAACCTTGAACTGGGTAAGCAGGAGCTACCAGTTATGATGAGCTGATATCAAAAATTACAGACAGCTTGTGATGTCAAGCCAATGGCCTCTTTGTGGAGTGACAGTGTATATAATTATTATTGTAGTATATCAGACAGTTCCTATATATGAACTTCACTTGGCACTGGGTGTTGCTGTTCGATACCATTAATGACAGAAACTGAACTAAACAAAGGTATTTAAAGTGGACCCTGAGTGTTTGTGTCCAGGGTTGTTTGCTCACCAGCCCAGTTGGAGGGGTGTGAGAAGTGCTTGCTTCTCTGCAGGGTCTTCATGGCCTCCATCAGAGCTGCACTGGCTTTGGTCCCGTTGAGAAGAGCCGTGTAGAAGTTGTGTGTGAACAGTTTGGAGGCAGCTATTGGTACAGGCCACAGGGAGACGCACACACACTGGACCCCTGCAGCCAAGAAGGCTCGGGTCAGACCCACCACCCCGTCACCCGTCACCCTGCTGCTGGACTCCGGGTACAACCTGAGGGTGCCGAGGAGTCAGAGGTCAGATGGATCAGTCAAACCTAACAGGCTTTGTAAAACGCTGAATATGTGAAAGGTTATACCTCAGAACCACCAATTTGACGTTCAAGCACAAGTCCAGTATATCAGCAGCGGTGAGGAGGAAGTCATGAAGTGGTGGACTGTCGCACATGCTCTCCACTTCACACACACTTTCCCCATCCTCGCTCATTTCATCTCCTCTGAATCTCTCAGGGCTGCTGTGACTCTTTGCAATCGAACCCTTGATCTTTCCGTCCTGATCTGCAGTCTCGCCTGAGGTCGATGCCCCACACGGTGATTTCTCCCTGGGTCGCCCGCTCGCCCCCTCTCCTCCAGCGTGCTCTTGGCTGGGGGTGAGGACCAAAGCGGCAAGCTTCCAGGATATGTGAGTTGCAAAATGAACGCACTCTGCCTGACTCAGCGCTGCAAGCACACGCTCCTTTGTGGCATTTGCTCCAGTCAGGGGATGACATCCCAGCTGTTCCCCCAGCCAAAGAGCTTCATCTTGGGCTGAAGGTAAGGGGCCCCACAACCAGCGGTCCATCACAGAGGGGGGCAGGCGAGGGGCACCAACCACTGCTGCCACTGAACCTCCATCTGAGCAAAGTAAGGGACCCCCGCGGCGAGGATGGGGCTGTGGGTTGAACAAAGGTTATGATGAAAATACAAACCAAATCACTGCTACACTAACTTAAACATAAAATCATACAAACAGATAATTAATCAATTCAATTAAACAAAAATCCATCAATTTACATTTATTACTACAAAGTAAGGGGACCGATATTTAAGATAAAGATTTAAAAAACAAGATTGGCCTGCCTTGACTGTGGCTCCCAGGGTGGCTAAAGAAGGTACAGAAATGAGACTGAACCTTTCATAAAGGTACTCATTAGAGGAGCTGCCTTTGAGCAAGGCAAATGGGATCAAGTATAATTCTCCCTCCAGTACTAATACGAGCTGCCTGTGTCTGCCCACAGGTCCACTATTGTGCATCAGGCCCTAGAGGAAAAAAAGACAGAACCATTAAGTTACAAAATGCTAAATATGTACTCCATTAAAATATACAGGACACACAGATACATACCCCTTCCATTGGTGCAATGAGTAAGTCATAAAGGGCTCGCAGAGGAGGTTTGCTGATGTTACTTGGTCGGCAAAGAGGGGAGGAAACGCTGTCCTTCACCGGTGACACTGTGGCGCTGTATAGACTCGTCATGCTCTGAGAGCTTCTGTAAAATAATTGTGCTAAATGCTCAAATCAACATGCTCATTAGTACTTAACACTAAGTACAGGTGACGCTGATGTCATCTGTTTTGCAGGTATTACATTACATTACATTTATTCATTTAGCTGATGCTTTTATCCAAAGTGACTTACAATTGGTATGTCTGTCAGAGGTTGCACGCCTCTGGAGCAACTAGTGGTTAAGGCCCCACCCACACTAAGAATTAAAAACGAATACGATCTCCGTCCACACCAGCGTTTTACCTGCGTATCAGAGTTGATCTCCGTCTATACTAAAACGACTGAAAACGCACATCTAGTGGCCGTTCTAGTGAGATACACTGGGCATGCGTGTGCCGGTGTAAACATGAAACAGATGGTCTATTCCGTAGTTACAGAAGATTTGGTGAAAGAATAAAGAAATACAGACAAAGAACCACACCAGATCTTATTTTGCATGAACCAATAACGAGCTGGGACTGTTACTAAATGTAACACAGGAAGTTAAAAGCGGCTGTGACAGCGGAAAACATACTGGGAATCGTCGCAAAGTACACTGAACAAAATTATAAACGCCACACTACCTATACCGATGCTGTCTGATCAGCATCATGATATGCCACACCTATGAGGTGGATGGATTATCGTGGCGATGTGCTCACTAACACAGAATTTGACAAATTTGTGAACAACATTTGAGGGAAATAGGCCTTTTGTGTACATAGAGACAGTCTTAGATCTTTGAGTTCAACTCATGAGGAATTGGGACAAAAACAAGTGGCTATAAGTGTTATTTGCACAGTAGGTCTACAAAATCAGTAGCATTGTGTTTCTACTTTGCATGACTTATGAGACCCAATCAGAGAGCTAAACGTGAGCATCTGCGCCATCAAATCCACCGTCTTCACTAAAATGCCCTTTCAAAATGAAAAACGGGATCGGCAGCGTTTTAACTTCTCAGTTTTAGGTCTTCGTTTTCGCCGTTTCAGTCTGGACGGGAGGTGCAAACGTAGCAAAGGGTCTCCGTTTTAAAACGAAAACACAGTAGTGTGGATGGGGCTTAGGTGTCACAGTAGTGAGCTGAACCCGGGTCTCTCACACCAAAGTACTGCCTCTTATCCACTGTTCCATCACCACCCCAGGTATGTGATCATAAACAAAAGTATTGGACAATTTCAAATAATTTTGACTTGACGGCATTAGATGAAAGGGATCAACAAAGTGATTACAGTTTACATGAATGGTTGTACTAAATGTCCTGCAAATCCAGATATGTCTCTCAAAACCACAAATATCAGCCTTGTGGTGGCTGTAGAAGAAAAGTCAGGGATCACCAAAATCAGTATGATTTATCCTCAGGGGACTGGGAACGTCTGTACAAAATTTCATGCAATCCATCCAATAATCTTTGAGATTTTTCCGTCTGGACCAAAGTGGTGGACCGATCGACTGATCACTAGCGTCAATAAGAGTTAATCAAACCTTAAAACCAAAATCAAACCTGTTAAAGAGGTTATTTCTGGACACCATGCGAAGGTAGCCCGTGGGGTCGGTGGCAGAGGTGAGTTGGTTGTTTAGCTCCTCAAACTGTTGCTCTAACAGATCTCCAGCTTCGCTCTCTGTCTCACTGCTGGAACAAACTCTGCAAAGTAACATAGGCAGACTGCATTATTCCCAATATCACCAGCAACACAGTATTAAACAATCAAGGTATTTTATTCAGAACATCTAGCAACAAAAAACTGTTAGTGGTCACAGTCTTATCATAACTTAGCTTAGGTGACTTGTGCTGTTTATTTAACTTTAATTTGAACATATAAGACTGTGTCCCTTTTTCTGAACGGCGCCCTCTGTGCTCACAAGTAACACAGTCTCACGTCTAATGCTAAATATATAGTGTTCTATGCAGTGTTACAGTAGCACAAGAAAATAAGAGTCATAAAGTCAGTGAACACACACAGTTATGTCAGCTACACAGCAGTATCCATTTAAAGCTTGCTAACATTAACCACCATAAGCTAGCGGTCATACCAGTAAGTATGTAGCAACAAAAAGCACTGAGCGTATTGAATTAAGCAAAGGTGCGTTTACTATAAAACTTCGGGCTTTTAGTTTAGTTTAATCACTGAACTCCCCCTGCATATGTTGGTAAATCTGAATGAATTAAACTTTGGTGCACATTGTTTCTGTAAAATGAACTAAATGATTGAATTGTGGAGAATCTAATAAGCCTGAATATTTTTTGCCGTAGGCTATTTTTGGCTTTTGGGTGCACATACACTTTTAGTGAGGTTTCTACGCACAGTTTTATAAATGAGGCCCCAGGCTTCTAATTGAGACCTGTGTTTATTTCTCAAAATGTGCAGCCACACCAGGCCAGCAACAGGGACAGTTGTCGAATTAGGACTAGGCTTTTAATTTAAGTTTTACAGTAATTGCTTATGAATCAAGTTATTGCTTGTAAGAAGAAGAATGTTATTTGCTCATTCAAACATTAAATAAACTCACTTTTAACATCAGTGATGCATTAAGGTAACATTTAAATTTTGAGGCTAAACCAGGATGGAGAAAGCGAGTGAAGTATTAGTGATATTTCTTGTGAAATAATACTTTGTTATTAATATGTTTTTGCCTGCCTAGTGCTCACAGTGAGGCCTCTTTAGAAGAATAACAAGAGTCTTTCTACAGCAGTTTTTCATCACAGGACTTGTGCTTTATGTACTGGACTGATAGCTCAAAGTATTTGCCATTAGCAAACATCATTACTTTTTATGGAATCCTCTGGCTGCACTTTTCACAGCTCAGGGAGATTTGATTTGATTTAAAATAGTAATTTCTGCTGCCTGGATACATGGTAGAGTTAGAGGGTAGTAAAACTCTACTGGCTGGTTGGAAAACATTTTAATGCTGCATGTGTGCAAATACTCATGCTGTGGATGAGCAGGATTCATAATCGCTACACATATAAATGGAGGGAGGCTCCAGGCTCGCCACAGCTTTAACACACACGCGACAGACACAATGAATCGCTGCTGGCTACAGAAACCCCACTGCAGTGGTTTTCACAGAGAGTTGAGACGCAGTTTGTGTAGGGGAACATTTGCTGACAAGACACATGGTAGTGATTTACAAAGTCGACCAGTTGTGCCAACCAAGGCCTGAAGTTGCGGGTAGGATAATTGAGAGTAAGGAAATATGGCAGGAGAGAGCAGGAGCGAAGGAAGACTGATGACATGCAGCATGTGCCTCCTCTATCTTGTTTTGCTCACTTTCCACCCTTGTGTTTTAATGAGTGACGGTGTCCAGTAATAAGACTCTTGAGTCTACTGGCTGCTCTGTGAGGCTGTAAGCACAGCATGCTTCAACTGAAAGTCAGCATACTAACATGCTCACAATAGCCATGTTTCCATCTAATTATTAAACAAAGTTAAAGCAAACATTTGAAATGTGTAAAAAAACAAAAAAAGAAAATTAGGCGCATTTCCATCAGCTGGTTTGGAACAAATAAACCAGGCACAGACTGTACCTGCTCTGCTTGGTGTCCTGCATTTTGGATCCAGTCCCTTGTTAACTAATTGTTTGCTTGACTAACCGTAACAATCTTATTTAATATCTTTGTGCATGTCCAGGTCCCATTTTAGATTGAATCTATGTGTCTTTTGTTTTCTTATTTTCTCTTTTTTTGTGTGAATATTTAGTGTGTTGTGTATGTTGTTAATGACAGAATCAAACCGTCTAACAAAGCAGGCTAGATCACTTTGAGAAAAAGCCAAACCTGCTGTAATGGCTGTCCACTCCCAGAGCCTCTCTAGCGTTCCAGATGTACTGCTCTAGCGACAGAGGACCTCCACCTGCTCCTCCTCCACCCTGTGGGCTTCCACCACCATCCTGGAACTCCGCTCCAGCCTCTCCAAGATACACCTCGTTAAACTTCACAATACCTGTAGCAACATTTTAGGAAAGAGATGAGTGAATTAGTGCAGGCTGTACTGTATGTGGCTTAGTCTGCATACAAAATTGGTCCAAGCTCAGTATGCAGGGCAGATTTTGGGAAATATTTTAATTGTTGGCTAAAAGACTAAAGCACTAGTAAGGAGTGGATCTTAGAAGCTGCACTGTTTCTTGCAACCTCCGATTCAAACGTGGTGGTTGGAGCAAACAAGCGTAAGGCTATAAATATGAAGTTCCCTTGAGGGTGGCCATAGAAGGAAAGGCCATGTGGTCATTAGGGTCAAAAAGTGATTAAAATCCAAAGGTTTACTGCCTTGGGTGCATAAATGTCCTCAAATGTCATGACAATTAGATTATAAGGTTTGTGTACGCATAGTTGACATTTTGGCCGGAGGGTGGCGCAAGAGGAAAGATCAAGAGTCCAAAATTAAAAGGGTTCATCCACTGAGGAGAATGAGTGTGCTCAGTAAATGTCATGGCAATCAACCTATTAGATTTTGGCCAAGTGTCCAATTCACAGACTGGCAGACTTTAGCATTTAGAGGACTGTGTGTTTGGACTGTGCTTGAGGGTTTGTAGTGGCCTTTTTGAGCTGTTTCCAAAGCTGCAGCCAGGTAGGAAGATTTCAGGATTGAAACCTCCTCCTAAATATTTCACATATATAGTTGAGGGCTGCAACTAACAATTAATTTTCACTGTTGACTATTTTCTCGATTAATCGATTTGTAGTTTGGTCTATAAAATGTCAGAAAATGGTGAACATTGTTAATCAGTGTTTCCCAAAGCCCAAGATGATGTCCTCAAGCCGAAAGATATTCAGTATACTGTCACAGCAGAGTAAAGAAACATGAATATATTTACATTTGGGAAGCTGAAATTTGTCTTAAAAACTTACTAAAACTGATTAATTGATTATCAAAACAGTTGCCGATTAATTTAATAGTTGACAACTAATCGATTAATCGCTGCAGCTCTAATATACCTACTTGGGCATAAATTTACTGCAGTACGATGCCTTAGACAGTCAAATCAAAGTGTTGTTTTGTGCAGTCCTCACTGTGAATGGACCGAGAAATTGCTAGTGCAACACTTTACCCCTCCTCTTAGTTAGACAGACTGTCTTGTTAACCTAACACATTAATAACTTTGTGTAAACATGCTTTAATTTGCCCGACCAACTGCTTGTTAAAATGTGAAACAGCCATAAATAAATAGGGGTTACATATATTCATGCTGAGAAAAGACCTATTTATCTACTTAAAGATTGTAGCGTGTGTCTGATTCTTGATTCTATGATCAAGCACATTGTGAGCAATGTATGAGTCAAATTCCTCGTATGCGTTCACATACCTGGCAAATTAAGCCGATTCTGATTCAAATTGTACAAAACAGCTCAATTTTAAAAATAACTAAACCTCCACTGATGCTGATATTTGATCTTTCTTCTGGACAAATTCCAGTTTTGCCGTGATGGTGGCGCTATAGGAAAAGTCAGCAGTCATCAAACATAAATTATTACAGTATTGCTTTTTCAACTTAATTTAAAATGTTAATAAAGAGGGTGTATTTACCTGCCCCTGGAGAGATCAGCCAGCTGTACAGAAATCCTCCAGCCAGAGAATAGTAGAGGACCATGGCCCTCTGACCATTGACCGTCTCCAGGATGTGCTCCACAGTTACTGGGATGTAAGGGTCACTGCTCGTTGCTTGCTGACTTCCTTTCTGGCGTTCGACCAGGAGATCTGCAAAGGCACGCGTTCGCCCTCGCTCTGCAATGGCCAGCGCCTCGTCATGTCGACCTTAGACATCACAAAGAAAATAAATTAGGGCATCGAGAGGGAGATGAGGAGGTGGAGCAGGAGATTTGGGAGAACAGAAGGTCTAAAGTTAGCAGCATTAGTAAAAGTAATGCACTCAGATTTCAGCTGATGCACAACTAGAGAGAAGAAAGGTGAGAACACCTTGAGGGAGGCTCAGGGATTCACATTACAAGATAACAACACAAGAGGAGAGGACAGTTAATTCACCTAGGCTGACGAGGACCCTCTGGAGCGCCTGGTACGAGCTGGTTTGCAGATCAAACACGGAGAGCTTGTAATCCGTACTGTGCTGCGTCTCATGACGGATTGTCTCAAATAACATAGATGCTCGGTACAACTGAAACACGCAGCAAACAAACATTGTAGAATCCAGTTTTCTGAAGAGCTAAATGCACAGAATACATATAAAGATACAAAAATATCTGTCAGGTGTTCGGTTGGGTTGAGATCTGTGGGGATATTTTCATACACATTTCAGGGTTTTCCTTTAAATCTGTCACCGGTCTGTGTATTTAAACGCATCATTTTAAACAGAAGGAGCTGATTTCAATTACTAGTCAATATTTAAAACATGAAATGCTGTGCTGTTACAATATGAACCACTGGGGGGCACTATAAATACACAACAATCTGAAGAATTTGGATGTTCCTCCTCCTCTTCTCTTACTGCATGGAAGGATACTCATAAAGTCACCCAAACAATGGAAACAATAGCCAAAAAAGATGGTGTCAATACAACTTTTTTGTATCCGGTGGTACTTCACATAAAAGTGCTAAAAAGTGTACTAAAACCTCCTGCATTCAAAATGTGACATTCAAAAGTACATAAGTATTAGCGTAATGATTCAATAGTAAATCTAATTTATTACGCAGAATGGTCCATTTCAGAGTGCTATATTATTACACTGTATTTAGTACATAATTGATTATTAATATCGATCATTACAAGTATTTAAATGATGCAGCTGGTTGAGTTGGAGCTGATTTTAATGTTCAATGTTTTATTCTTTTACAAATGACAAATGTTGACAAATATTAATCTTCAAACTAAAATAAAAGTAACTAGAGCTGTCAGTCAAATGTAGTGGAGTAAATGGCACAATATCTTCCTCTAAAATGTAGTGAGAGAGAAATGAGTAGAACAAAATGGAAGAATACTATAAGAGTGCGATAAAAAAAATTATAATTATTGCGATATACTATGCTCAATATAACAAATATTAACTGTAATATTATTTTGTAATATTATTATATAACAAATACATTTTTGATTTAATTTATCTGAATTACAAATTAATCAGTACTTATTTTTTTCTATTAAGATATTTATTCTGTTGAGGAAAAGGGACTAAACAAAGATTTTTTCATAATTGTTTTGAATGTACCTCAGATTTGTTAACTGATCCACTGTTTGGCATCAAGTGTTTGTTCTGACCATAAGAGAAAATTTTAAAACCACAATTAACCATCTGGTTTCTTCAACTTTCACTTAGAAACAAAAATCTGCCTTTAAACTTGAAAGATTATTGTTTTAGAAAGATATAACATTTTTTATCATGATAGCATTTTTGGCCCTGTGGCCCAGCACTACCTACAGTAGTATAAGACCGTTTCCCAATCAGTATCAGTCCAGCGACAGGCGTACTGGGAAAAGGTTGTGGTTTGGATTAAAATAATTACATTACGTAAGTCACGCAACGTAATTCATCTACAAAACTTTACTGAACTTAAAACATTTTACTTTTCACACAAGACTCAAACCTCAGTCTCCTGAGTGAAAGTCCTGAGTTGACTTTACTCATCCACCCCACCACCTCCTTACAAAGACTTTGTTGCTCTTTATATTACATCACTTCTTCGTCCACTAGAGGCCTAACAAAAAAATTAAAAAGCTGCTGCATAATTGACCTATACGGCCATTTCTCCTAACTGGAACTGTAAGCGAGATCACATCACCCCTGTTCTTGCCTCCCTTCACTGGCTCCCAGTTAATTTTAGGGTTGATTTTAAGATTCTATTGTTTGCTTTTAAAGCCCTTTGTGGACTAGCTCCAGCCTATATCACTGATCTATTGAAGCCGCATGCTCCTTCAAGGTCATTAAACCAGTCACTTCTTGTTGTCCCTAAAACACGGCTCAAGAACAGAGGGGAGCCCTTCTTCATGTCAGACTGGCCCCCAGCCGTATTTTCATTCCTTGGCTTTTAATCTGGCATGAGAGCTGTATGTTGTATTTGTTTGGTGTTGTATTTTGTCTATTTATTGTTTCATGTCAATGTAAAGCACTTTGGTCAACCTGGTTGTTTTAAATGTGCTTTAGAAATAAAGTTGGATTGGATTTCGAGGATGGGCTGCAAAAAACGAGTAAAACAAGTGCAGTAAATGTTTTTTGTAACTACAAGACAAGGGTTTCACTTTGTTGAAAAGTGGTGGGGACATAAGGGCTCAGATTAAGGGTGTGATGATACAAAAGGGTAAGAAGACGTGTCGATGTACGAGAACAAGACAAGAACATGTTTAACCTTATTTTGAATAAATATGATCCTTCCCCAGAAAATCCTTCCCCAGAAAATTGGAGCATTAAGCACTTTATTTCCTGCATTCTGGAGACATTTTCTGTTCCAATTTACGGTGGAAATGTCTTTATTTATATAAAGGGAAACAAAAAAATTCAGCTGGCAGTTGACAATTCATAAATATAAAAATATAACATAATACTGGATTTGTTTCTTCTATATTTAAATGCATTGCATGTTTTCTTGTAGTGCAAATTAATCCTTCATTTGTTATTTAACATTTCTTAGTGCAAGCTATTTTTCAGAACATTTTGTCCCCAGTGTGTAAAAGACACCTATGCTACAAGAGGAGTTTAGTTCTGTGGCAGCTGGTGCCATTGTAAAAATGGGACTAACATCCAAAACATCCCTACATACCTTTGTATAGCAATAAAAATCCTTGATCCTGTCTTCACTCTAGACTTGTACAGTAACTTCTGAAGAGAGTTAAGATACTGGAGACATGCAGACACACACACACACACACACACCTGGTGCTGTGCCTCTTCCAGGTTTCCGCTGGCCCACAGAGACAGGCCCAGGCGATGGCGTATCTTAGCTTCATCTTCTCTCCGACCTAACTGCTCTGCCAGACGCAGACCTGAGGAGAAGAGAGAGAGGCAGGCAGGAGAGGAGATCAGACACTGGCTCCTAGGGGCTGATCTGAGAAGCATCTCTCTGAAAGTCCTGGCACTTTGACGCTCATGACAACTGTTGAAGCAAAACTCCCAGGGCACTCACACTTGCCATTCCCTTCCTCTCATTGTTCCTTTTGTCTTTCTGTGTTTCTTTTGATTCAAATTTCAGCGTGATAAAAAGTTCTTGTATTCTCGATGCTCTTCAGTTTGTCTCTGATGTTTCATCTCCCCTGATGTGCAGGAGCAGACAGACACGACGGGTTGTAATTAGTTCTCGTTAGGCTCTCAGATTGAGCAGAACGTCATCAAACATCAAGTTTTGATTTACGCTCCTCTGCCTGTTTCTCTAGCTGGCCCTGTGATGTTCTGTATCTGTCTTTTTTTCCTCCATCGGTTGGGGAGGTTAATTGGAGGTAGCTGTAACGAATGTTTCTCCAGCTCCGTCCTCACCTCAACTCTGAGCCAAATTCCTCGTTGCTTGTTGAGTTAATGATCAATTAAAAATCCAGAGGTAAAGTGACAAACTGTGGCCGTGTCTTACAGGCCCGAAGAAGTTCAAATATCCATTACATGTGTTTTGAATTTGTATGTGTAGTGTGCTTTTTTTACATTCCTAAAAAAGAGGATTATTTTTTCAATCTAGAGAGATCAGCGATGTGTGTGTGTTTAACACGTGCACAGATAGCCCAAATGCTTCTGCTCTCAGACTTGACAAGTCCCCTTTTGGCTGGTGTTACTTCAATTAATATAATGACAGAAAGGTACACAGCGCCGGGTGAGTCTGTCATGCATAGCCTATCAGTGGCTCTGTGCAATTTTGGTACCGCTCTGTTGTTAAATATTGCTATTGCGTCTTGGGGAAAGCGATGTGCGCTGTGTTATTTTGCTGGCATTATTTTATGGTTGAACTCAGGTACACGCCTCTCCAAAATCAATTGAATGCCTTCTTGAATGTTATGTTTGCTTGTTCCACACAGAGACTATCCCATTGAAAATATTAAAAATAATAGCTGATTTGTCCCTGTTCAGGTTCAGATTAAGGGTTTACCGATATCTGTCCTCTACGGCAGCCTGTAGGGTGTATGACGGACTTCTATTATGGTTAATTACATTCGTACAGCCATCTGAAGGCAGCAGGAACGGTATGTCATTCTCTCTTGTTTCAGGAAGTGGCAGGCATTTTCTAAGTGATATGTATTTTCAAAGCGTTTTATCATATGCCACCAGCACCAGACTCTTGAAGAAGTACACATACTACTTTGGTTTTGTTCACACCAAAAATTTTCATCCAAAAAATGCCAAGGAGCAACGTTCCTTTCTAAGTCTCCTAAAAGTAGCTCCTAAAGCATGATTTATTTCCAACAGAGAAGGGCCCACAGCTGTGATAAATACAGTGTGGTCGGGCAGAAACATGGCTGTAATTGTTTTGGTTTTAACAAGTGTGCGTTTTTAGGTTTGTTAACTTGATTTTCAGCATTTCTCTCAGTTCAAACCTTCATGTAGCTAAACAGCATAAAAAACTAGGCTATGGCTTTTCTCATATTTTATAATTGTTGTTTCATTGCCAGCATTTAAATGTGTGTGTGTGCGTGTGTGTGTGTGTGTGTGCGTGTGTGTGTGTGTGTGTGTGTGTGTGCGTGTGTGTGTGTGTGTGTGTGCGTGTGTGTGTAGAGTAGAGCAGTCTTGTTATATCAGATCAGACAGGATCATGACGACAAGCTGCCTGAAGGAAACCACACTCTGGGGTAAAACCCTGAGCACTGATCTTCTATTAGCTTCTGTCCGACTCATGAATACCTTTCATGCTTCTGGATTGTTTCAGAAACACAACTCACAATGTTCTGAGGCCTAAACAACTCTGACTTTAAATAAGAAACCGACATGTAGATCAAAGTCTGTCTAAGAGCCAGAGCCTTCCTAAACGGAGTCCGCAGGGGAAGGCAAAAAAACTGTGACTAACTTTTTCCTTTGCTTTCCATTACAAGTTGAGTTGATACATGTCAAAAATTGACTGCATTAAAACATAATGGAATTCAAAAGATCCTATTAGACACGCGCTGCATTTTGATTCAGGTGTGATTACAGTTCTCTGTATCCAGCGGTTTCTGGTCATTAGGGGCAGGTGGGGCTTAGCTAACTGTGCAAACAAATTATGTTATTTTTATTTAAAAAAAGATTATTCTCTGAAATAATTTACTATCTATGAATATAGCATCATCCTAAATTGCATGTCATTTGTGTTAGGATTGTATTTCATGTTCTTGTTCATGTCCGTAGGCGGTGGGATAGCCCCTCTCTCACAATGCATTGTACATTGTACTTGGTCAAATATTAATATGCATGTGTTAGTGAGTTCATTGTAGATCACACAGTGGGGCTAACGGCTTTACTTATGCTAAACTGATACTTGAGCACAGGTTTGAAACCCTTAATTTGAAGGAGAAACTGGAATTAAAGCACCTTGTGATATTGTCATCACTCAAACTGCTGTGGTTTTTGAAGAAAAAATGGCTACGTCCATGTCTGCTGTTTGGTGGAGATGGTACTTGATCGAGGACGGGTTACAAAGATTTGAAACATCTTTCTGAGAGGATTGCAAAACATGACAGCGCATGCAGGCGCTCCATTCAGCAGCATGCTAATCAGGTGGAGGAGAACAGGTACATGTTCACTCGGATCCTAACATGTATTACTGTGTGGAAAATGTGAAACAGCCCTGACGAGTCGACAGACTCACTGAATCCGGCACTCACAATACCATGGGACAGCCGTAACTCAAGTCACTGGCCATGCTGTCCATCAAAAGTCAGCTGATTCCGCAGCCACATCACTTCATTACCAAAGTCATCAAGAAGTTTGCTTAGAAGAATCGTTGTGCCGCCTTTCTCCTCAAGGGAGCCCTCAGCCTTTGTGAGTGAAAGTATATTTTATTATCCTGCCTTTGTGCTGCTGGTCTGTGTGTTTGCCATATTGTTGTACTGGATCGATTTACATAGATGGTGCCGAGTGTCAATGGGTCCATGCTTAGCGATTAAGGTTGTTGAAATCGTGTTGTTGTCATCGATTGATTCTGTATCACTAAAAAGTTGTGCGCTTCGTCTTTGGCTTTCAGTGGTGTTGGAGCTCATATGGCCCTGTCGGCTGATCTTGGTTGTGTCGGCTTAAATATTTCATTCTTAATTCAGGTTTGTAATAGTGCTAATGTACCTTGTGTAATTTCTCTCTCTCTCACACCCCTGCGGTGTATGTGTACAACACCTGGTAGAAGCGAGCCACTCTGTCCTTAAAAGTGTTTTGTGCAATGCTCTTACCTTCCTGTAGGTACATCACAGCCTGTGCGTAGTTTTGCAGTGCATGGTGTAGCCTTCCCAGGCTCCCGTAGGCTAGAGTTTTAGCTATTAGATCACTGGTCTGTGCTGCCACGCTGAGGTGCTGCTCCTGGAAGACCACAGCCCGCTCGTACTTTCCTAGAGCTTCGTAGGTCAGTCCCAGGTTGCTGTAGGCTCGACCCTGGCTCCTCACACATGCCGCCTGCTCTGCGATATCCAAAGCCCTTTGGTGCCACTACAGCAGGAGAGCTTGATTACTTAGAGGACTAGTTTGACATTTTGGGAAAAATGGTTTCTTACCAAGAGTAAGATGACAAGAAAGAAACCACTATTGTATCGCTAAATATGGATCTACAGCCAGGAGGCGGTTAAGTGATGTACTATTTCTGAGTCAGGCTAGCTGTTTCCCCCTGCTAATTGGCTGCTGGCTGTAGCTTTATATATAGTGTATAGACATGAGAGTGGTATCAATCTTCTCACCTGAGTGTATTTCACAAAATGTCAAACTATTCTTTTAAATTGTTGCAGGAAATACTGAGTCGTGATGTATTATGAATCTGTACAAACCTGTAGCGCTGTCTCATTGTCTGCCATCAGCTGATAAACGCCTCCAAGTGCATCGCTTGCCTCTGCTTCCAGGGATTTATCCTGACAGTTAAAGCAGGATTTACTAAATTTTTCTGTGCGTAACTTTTCATTAAAAAAAGGTAATTTGTCTTATTCGGAAGAAATCGGCAGCTGAAACAAGAACCTCTTGCTGGTAAGTCCTTACCCCTGCTGTGCGTGCAATGTTAAGCTGGTGTTCCAGGCACGAGAGGGCCTGCTCATAGTTGCCCAGCTGGCTGTGTAAGGTGCCCAGCTCCCAATAAGCCTGAGCCTTACCCCCTCCTTCCCCACCCAGCTCATGGGCTACCACCAGCCGTTTCTCAAAGCACACCAGTGCCTGCTGGAGACTTCCCATAGACCTGAAGGAGGAGGAAAAACAATGTGATCCTGTATTACTTTACGTTCGGTCTGTTTTTGCAAGTACACCAACTAATGTGGAGTTTTTATCTTAAATTCATACTACTGGGTCCACTTCCACTATCAAAGCCCTCTTTTTTTCCAGAGAGACCCATATGGGCAATTTAAGAAAGCAAACAAGAAAGCAAATAGGTTCATAATAACAGGACAAGTAAAAAACAGTTCTTTATCCTCTGAGAGAAAAGAGTAAAAAAGGAAACATCTACAAAGGCTGTGTTCATTGAGATAAATCAGCGATTCTCTTCTCCTCATTTCAATCCTGTTCAGACTCCAGAGAGCAGAAAAAGACTACAAATACAGATGGATAAAGAAAACTCATTATCAAATTTTGTTCTTCTTTCAGTGAACAATACAGCTTTATATGAGAAAAGGCCAATGTGGAGATATAGCCTACTGTCTGAAAAGTAGCGAGGGAACTACCCCTACATCCATCACCACTACAGCTTGTTACTATTATTACTGTAATTGAATTATGATTATTTTCATTATTTATAATGACTGTAAATTAATTTTGTGTATAGCATATGCCTGAGGCGTCAAAAAACTAATTTGAGATTCTTGCATGACTGCTATTGTGTCTGGCATATTCAAACTAATGGGAAAGCACAGAACATAAATATAGACATGAAATAAATATTCACACAAATGTAAACAAAAGTGGCTGCAAGGTACCGTAACAGCATGAAGAGACCTTTCATAGACAAAATGAACAAAATGCATGTTACAAATTTGCGCACATGGCATTTTAAAGAAATCAAACCCACATATTTCCCCTTGTTTGCTGTATTGTAGCCTTCACTGGAGTACATAATCCAGTTTCCATGTTCATCATTTATTGAAAAAAGCTGTAATATATGCAAATCAAGCACTACAGCTTACACCACTACCAGATACAGTGGGTACATGAAAAGTATAGAAATATGAAAATATAAATATTACTTAGATCGACATTTTGGGAAGCAAACTTTCTTGCAGAGTCAGATGTGAAAATTGACACCACTTTTACGTAATAAAGCAACAGCCAGGCGATGGCTATCTTAGCTTAGCATAAAGACTGGAAATAGTCACTAAAGCTCACTAATTAAGATGTTATATGTACTTTGTTAAATTTGTACAAACACTGAAGTGTAAAAAAAAAAATTACACTTTTTTCTACGGACTGAACAAACAAGCTATAACGTTTCCTGTTTTTATTTTGGTAAACCCTTTCTCTTGTGTCTTGGTTGTTCTTGTCATTTTGTCCTCCTGTCATTTATTTATTCGTTTTGTTTCCAGTGTTACTTCCTGTGCTACGTACCTGCCTCTCGTTTCTGTCCACTTCACTACCTGCTCTTGTGTTTTCATGAGTAGTATGTAGCTGCAGTACCGGAGGCTGCAGTTTTAGGACTGCAGTCCTAGTACCGGAACTGCATTTGCAGGACCCTTGTTTACTTTGATACTGCCAGCTAGCTGGCTGGCTATGTTACTCTTGACAGGCCCCCAAAGCCAATAACCCTTACCCTAACCATCACAGGGTGTGTGCCTAAACCTAAGTTATTGATTATATGCATGTCCGGTCAACCCTACAGCTGCGGACATCGGCCGTGCTAGCACACAGGGTTAACCTCAATCGTGTTGCTGTGCATTACCACCACCAATCCACTAGATGGCGCTGTTGTAAAAGAACTATGGTCCTAGAACTGCGGTCCCAGGATTGCAGAGGTCCTTAAACTGCAGGTTTTCATGCGTATTTGTTTGTTTACTCCTCCCTTTATGTATTTCAGCTGTCCTTCATTATCTCTGTCTCTCTTTGATATTCAAGTCTGTGTCTTCCCTTTGTCTAGTGTCACTCAGCCTTTGTTCATTGTTGAGTGTCTCTGCCTGTTTGGATTACTTTGGAGTTTGTGTTTTGGTTGTCACATGCCTCCCCTGCCTGCATTATAGCTTTTGTTTTTAGATTATGGATTTTGGTTTGTTGCCTTTTGGACTGCCTGCATCCTCATTTGTAAATTTCCACCATTAACTGAATCTCCTCGGCCTTGTTGCCCTGCGTTTGGGTCCAAATCCGAGTAATTTTTACCATACAAACATGAGTGGATGGTCTTCTTCTCATCTAACTCTTGGCAAGAAAGCGAAAATGTGTATTTCCCAAAATGTTGAACAATCCCTTTAAGCTTTGTTTTACCTACCTGTGCGCATTGCCAAGTCCTCTGTAGGCTTTCTCCTGGTCCTGGACATGGTTGAGACTCTGAGCCACCGTCAGGTACTTTTCGTAGTACTGAATCGCCTCCTCATAGTCTCCCAGAGCATCATAGCAGTCTGCCAGATTCCCATAGGCCCGACCTCTGTCCAGCATGCTCTCAGTTCCACTCAGCTGCTGCAGCATCGCCAACTGCTGCTCAAAATAGCCAATAGCTTCCTCAAATACCCCCATGTTCATTTTAGTGATGCCCATGTTCCCGTGGACCTGGGCCTCCAGACGGGCATCCCTAAGTCCCTGCGCTAGGCCCAGCTGGGCCTCATAACACTGGAAGGTTGTAGCGTAGTCTCCCAGGGCCATATGTACTGCCGCCAGGTGGCCAAGGGCGCGGCACTCCCCCTGCTGATCACCTAGATCTTTTCGGACAGTCAGTTCCTGGCTATGGAAGGACAAAGCTGTATCCAACTGGCGGAGCAGCCTAAAGTGGGAGGAAAGTTTGAGGAGAGAAAAAGAGAGGTAAGAAAAGAAGAACCAAACAAGCAGAGAAATCACGCAGTTGAAAATCTGTCATTCTTGTCAACTTTATTACCTGTGAACTGATCCGAGTGCTGAGTAGGCGTCAGCTTCCATCTTCTGATCGTTGGCCTTCTGAGCAAGGGTTAGTTGCTGCTGGTAAAACCTCACAGCTCCTGGAAGATCTCCCCGACAGACACACACATCCCCCAGGTTCCCAAAGGCCCGGAAAACTGCCTGCTGACAAACACAACCACACGGACCCTGATTAACTAACCACTTCCTAAGTAAGGGATAAGTTTTTAAAGTTTATCAAGTGAACACAGCAGTAGTAGGTGACCTGTGTGTTATCCAAGGCTTGTGCTAGAGAAAGCAGGTATCTCTGACACTCCTCTGCTTTGTTGTATTCCCCCAGTGCTTTGTGGGCCAGACCAAGGTTACAGTACGCTTTTGCCTGGGCTAATTTGTCTTGCAGGTCCTTAGCCAAGGCCAGGTCCTGCTCATTATACCTAGGAAATGGATGAAAGATTCAAAGCATGCCTTTGTCATTTACACTTCAATTAAATGGAAATATTTCAGACACATGTGGTGTATTTGGAAACTTTGAAAAACATTTTCCTATCACATAAAGTTTGTGTTTTGTGACATTAATTTATTCTCTGACCTGACGGCGTCTCTGTACTGTCCAAGGCAGTAGTGAGCATAGCCGAGGTTGTGGCAGACCTTGCCCTCTCCTTCCAGGTCCTGCAAGCCTGGGGCCAGAGCCAGGTACTGCTGGTAGTACGGCAAGGCCTGAGCGTACTCACCTCTCCAGCTGTGAAAATTTCCCAAGTTTGCTGCAAAAGAGAAGATTTTTCAATTAATTACCATTCCTCTCTTCTTTCCTTAATGCATCTCTCTCTTGTCTAGCTTGCCTAGTGCTCTTGCTTCACTTTGAGTGTCTCGGAGCTCTCGTGCGATGGTCAGGTGGTGAAGGTAGTGTTGTAGAGCTCGGTCGTGAGCCCCCAGTGCCTGGTAGGCCACAGCCAGGTTACCATGTGTGGAGGCCTGGGATGGACGATCATTTACCTAAACCAAAAGAGATATTACATTTCTGTTTTCCACACGGCGTCTAAGTATTGCTTGTGAAGAGAGCTGGAATTCACCTCCAGTGAGATCTGTAGTTCTTGTCGGTGGTACCGGACAGCTTGGTCATAGATGCCAAGTGCGTGATAGGCGTTGCCCATGTTACCATAGGCCCTCCCCTGGGCAGCGTAATCACTCAGCTCCTGGGCGAAGGACAGGTGGGCTTTGTGGAGCTTCAGCGCTGTCTCATACTCCCCCTTCATCTGGTGTATGATGCCTGAGATGGAAGTAAGAAGAGGAGATGTATTTTCAATATAAATTCTCTTTTAGAGGTCTGAGCAGTTATAGAGAGATCTAAGCTCAGTGGTAGGGCTGTCCTTGACTAAGGATTTACATAGTCGAATCAGAATTGTCAAGTCTCTCTGTCTTTCTTTCTGCTCGCCTGCCATTCACTGGTCTTGTGCCGAGTTTTGTGGGTGCGCGTGCCTGACTGTAACTAACTGTACATGCACATCGCGGTACTGTTTCAAAAACGATATAATATTCTTTCTGTGGTTCATCAATGGTGATAAATGATCTGAACGACCCGCGAGGTGCGCACAACTCGGCACAACACCGGTGAAGCTGGGGCTTCTTCTCTTCAGCAGGTGTTCCTCTTCTGCCACTACGCAATACACAGTACGCCCATGCGCACTGACGCCCCACTTCCTTAAGGGTTAAGGTTACAATTATGAATTTATTCACGTACTTTAAAAACATTTATTAAAAGCTTCTTTCTTTTCACATTTTTATTTACATCATTATATGTTAAAGTGTATATTGTAATAGGCAGCATATTAACTTATTGGGAGAAAACTGGTAGTTCTATTTAAAATCAGACGTTGAGCACCCCCATATCGCCAAAATAGCGTGATCCTCATTTCATAACGCCGTTGCGAAGCTTCGACTGTGAGATTATCAGTCAGGCTCCACCCATCAAAGCATCAAATCTTCGACTATTTGGGGTCAGCCCTTGTGATTAGCAGAGTTTTCAAGTCTTTTGAGACACATCCACGTCAAGTCTCAAGTTCAAGTCAAGTCTTTAATCCATAAGTTTTATATTATCTGGGGGCGGGTCCAATCAATCAAGTATCAAGTCATTTGAGACAAGCCCAAGTCAAATCTTAAGTCAAGTCTGTCAGCAGAGCAGTTTTAACGTGTTTTCGGGCTAGTCCCATCAGGTTTCATGTCAAGTCCAATCATGGCTGAAGTCTAGAATTGTTAAGTCCAAAGTCGTCCAGCATGACTTTACCAGATCAAATCTCAGTATAGTCAAGTCTTTAGGGAGTCAAGTTTCAAGCAAGTCCAAGTCAAGTCCTACTTTTTGTGACTTAAATCTGACTTGCTTTCAACTCTCAAGTCTAGGGATCTGCTGATTAGTTCATCCAACATTGATTTGATTAGTAGTGAACAACGGCGTCAAAAGTGGTGGGGACATCGGAGCTGAGATTAGGGGAAGATATTTTAACACTATTCATTAGAAATATTCAGTGTTGAAATATATGTGTGGGGGAAATATATATATAAGAAGATTTTGAGAATTAAACACTTAATTTCCTGCATTCTGGAGATATTTTCTGCACCAAGTTTTGGTGAAACACATACAAGTTAGAGGTGACAATTCAAAATATAAAAACTGCAACAAAAAAAATGCAGTAATCAGTAGCTTGTTTTTTTTAGCTTAAGTTTTTTTTGGGACAATGCACATTTGTTTCTTCTACATTTACTTTGCACAGCATGTTTTCTTATTGTGCAAATTAACCTTTCTCAAAGCATTTTCATTTGTTAAATATTTTTTGTTGCAAGCTATTTTTCAGAACATTTTTAACAAATGCTTTCAAAAAATGATGGGGACAAAATCAGCCTTTTTAAAAAAGTGGTGGGGACAAAATCAGCCTTTTTAAAAAAGTGGTGGGAACATGTCAGCCTGTAAATCATAGGTGATGCTCACCTATGCTAGTGAACTTCAACAGCTTGCTTCTCATGAACATAGTAAATCCCCAAAATGATGCACAGAGATGTAAATACCCAACAAGCAAAGACAACAAGCAGAGTGGTAAATAATTAAAAAGCTACTGTGAGAAAGTTCCATAAATCTAATAATATCTACTGCTATGGATCTTCAAACTTCGTTACTGCATATGCAGAGATCCAGAGGAGAGTCACACAGTTTGTCTCTCTGTCCAGGGAAAAGGAACTGAAAAACTTAACTCCCGGTGGCCTTCACAACTTTTTGTATGATGTTGTGTCTTCACCACTATCAACAACCCAGTTTACAGAGCCAAAGTAGACAAAAGTTAGACACAATAGAGATTATGACAGAAAAAGAAGAGAGAAAGACAGTAGCTGCAGGAAAGTTAAACACAGGAGGGGTTTCAGAAGGAAATGAAATACTGGGAAATGCAATTTAGAGGGAGAGTCATTGTTGTTGCAGAACTAAACAAGCAGGTGGCACACAAGACTCTTAAAAAATATAGTAAAAGCACATAAACCTGTGTGTGTGTGTGTGTCTGCCTGTTTGTAGATGGGGTTAACTGCACCATCTTCTCTGTTTACATGCATTAATGCAAAACTTGATTATAACCAGATTGGGGCAAAACACAGTGTTGATAGCAACTCTCAGGTAAACACATTAACTGTTAGTGTAATTAAGGTCAAACATAACAGCATTAACATGATTGGATTACACATCTACCTTTCAAATTATGGTAGCAAATATACACCTTTATAGTCTGATTTCTTCTTCTTCACTGTGTTTTGAACTTTGCGTGTACTAGAAAGGTCCCGAAGGGAAAACTGCATGCAAAACAGTGTTACAAATAAAAAACACTGGTCTGGATAGTGACAAAAAGTAAACAAAATCATTTTACTTTTTGACTTTTTATTTTAAGTAGCTAACGTTAGTGTTACTGCGCAGGAAAAGGACATTAAACCAATTGACTGTTTTTAAGTTACTGTTGCTTAGGGTGACCAGAAGTCCCCGTTTTCCAGGGACTGGTGGCCTGTCCCCGTCTGGAGCTGTCCCCGGAAATGTCCCTGTTTTGTGTGTTAATCATAGACTGTATAAGGTGTTAACAGACCTGAAATCAGATTTTACGTGACCAGAAAGACTGGATGTATCACCCAGTCTCTTTATGACTAAGTTACAGCTGCATCTGGGCCAAACAGACATAATGTGCAAATAAACATCACTTTATGTCTGCGGTAATGGCAAAGGTATGTCTTTGTGATACTGTAATGTTTCTTTTAACGGAATAATCACAATTGTGGCCAAATAAGTGTCAATAATAACTTATTGTGGCCAAATAAGTGCCGTTTATAACGTAACCAAGCATGTAATTTACATGATTATAGGCAATAATAGAAGCCTGTTGTTGCTGATGGATTATGTTTTTGATAGGAGTATGTAAACAGACTGTAGCCTATAATAACATGACTTACTGCTAAGTTATATATAAAATAAAACCATGATCTCTTTTGCAATTATCCTGGTGACATTATTTAACTTGCGGTGTAACAACCAATCCAGTCCTTTTTACTTTTTGCTACACCGGTCAAGTTTTCCACACTAGCAAGGCGCAGTTCACATAACTGTGGCAGATTTACAACTCAAAATGTGTAATTATTTTTGAAACAATGATTTGCTGATTTCAGAGAGAGTTAGATAAAAATCAGCTTCTCACTGCAGGTCAACGACTGTCGATTTTGTTGGCTGAAATAGTGACTACAATTGCAGATTTTAGCAAGCTAGCTAACTCAAACTCTGAGTCCGCCTAACTTTTTAATGTATCTGGCTGATTGTTTTAAAATGAGAACCATGTGAAAAGGTCTTGAATATTCACAATAGACATTTATGTCTAAATAAACATTAATGAGCCTAAAACTATATATCCCCGGCAAAATGTGAACATCCTCACTATAGGATCCATGTAGCAGACAAGGAAAAGGCATTGCTTTGTATAACAGTGTAGAGCTAGCTAGCACTAGCACTGTATTTTAAATAAAAATGTAATTACAATGTTAATTTCTTTAAACATAACCCTGTTTGGAGTCTCATGATTAACAGCAACACATTAGGTTAGAATTTTGCTTTATAGTTGGTATTTTCAAAAAACAAAAAAAGCTTTGAGGAGGAGAATTAGTTAACCAATGTGTTTGGCAAACCTCAGGTAAAAGAGTTGGTTTCTACTGTAAGCAGTAAGCTATTTAGCTGGGTATGCCATCTCTAGTGCCTTAAGTCATAACACACAAACACAGTTTCATATAATTGAGCTCTTGTTTTTTAGGTTTAGGAAAGGCAGTAAAAGAGACACGGCCCTCCAAACTCTTTAGATACCAAGTATTGCTTTCTCTTAATAGAGCACCATGCACACCGCTATAATCTTTATAGACTTGTTACATGAGTTCACAATTGCTGTTGGGGCGACGCATTAAGCGTAACAAAATGGACATGCTTGTGGTGTGATGTAATGTACATAGTGATAACCTTATCTAAATACGAACAAATATAAAAAACCTTCTATGATTTCATTTAGACATTTACTTTGTAACTGCCCCAATAAAATGCTGCACTGTTTTAAATGTTATTGCTGAGAGCAATAACATTTTATATATCTATATCTATATATCAAATACATGTTATTTCTACAGTGAAGACAGAATAGGACAGATGAGAGGGGGGTTAAAAGAAGGGACACAGAGATATGGGGGGTGTCGAGACACCAGATGGAAGAGGTTACATGTGGTTTTCATGTCAGACTGTGTGGGGAGAGAGAGGCTGTGGTCTGAGTGTAAACTGTGAGTCACTGGCACATTTCCAGCTCAGTTGTATTATTTTGAACAAGACTGGTGATCTCCTGTACTCCCATTGTCAACAAATCCCATGAAAAGATCAAAACCAACAATGAATTGATCCTACAAGTATTGTCTGTGTGTCCAAAGCCTAAAACCCATCAGTGAGCCTCCCTGCTTCATCACCATGAACTCACACTCTGTAGTTTATTCTGACTCAGTCCCACATACACCGTAGTGCTGCCCCAAATAATCACTAGAGCACCACATGTGGATTCATCCACCACTGAAAATAGTCCCCAACAAATGCTCTATTTCCTCCTGTTTGAGTAACGTTTGATCCGATTGGTTGAGTGACACAGACAGGAATCAGAAAGTATTGTAAGTCTTTTTGTGGGATTTGTCGACAATAACAAACATACAAAATAAATCCACCCTTATATTTGG